AAACGCACTGTAAATGCTGAAACCACCCTGATGCCCCCCTTTTCCGTGTGTTCGCCAAAACGGATGTACTGCCCGTGACTCGAAGATTGACCCGGGCTTTGGAGAAATATTATGTGCTGTTGGAAAAAAAAAAAAAAGTCGTCATGCACGCTGTTTCCCCTTACGACTTGCCGTCATCAGCTTCAGCTCCAGAGGCCAGAAGCCCTTGGTCTTGCTTGTGTACTCGCTTCGGTCCTTGGTTTCGACCTTTTGTCGGCAAATTGGGCACTTGTTTTTGGTAGCGTCGACATTTAAAGCAGAATGTAGGCACTCGGAGCAAAATAGATGACCTGGACAGCGTTAGTACAACGTCCCCGGGTAAGAGCCCATGTTTCCACGTACCGCAGTGTGTCACTGTCAACGCGGTGGCATCGTCCATGCAAATGACACACTGAAAGGCTGAGAGCTTGACCCTGTTGTCCTCCTTGGGCACCTTCATCTCCTCTGGCGCTTCATTAGAGCCTGCCAGATCAATAATGTCTTCATCCTTCTCTTTTCCCTTCTTCGATTCTTCCTTTTCCTCGCCAAAGGGATCTTCATCTATAACTAGGGCATTGGGCGTTGTCTGAGTGCGCGTGGCCTGGGGTTGTGATGTGCGCCGTCTTTTAGGAGCGGCGGTTGTTCGAGACGGCGCAGATGACGGCGCTGCTCTCTTCCGCGCTGCGGGTGGTGCGATCTCCTCCGGCTCGGGGTCGTGATCGGAACTGAGTATCGTGGAGGCTCTCCGGCGCGTCTGTACAGGCATCGTGGCTGGTGGTTGTTCGTCGTCTGAGCTAACGAAAAGCGACTCTTCCACCTCGCCCTCAAAAAATGCAGCGCGTCCCGTCGGCACTCGTCCTATCGGTGCCGTGGCGGGAGTACTATTGCCGCTGTTTCTGTCGAAGAAGCGGCTTGATCGTAGCGCCGTGTCAGAAGGACAGCAGCGGGGAGGATTTTGTAGGTTCGAAGACTGATTCGCTTGGTGGGTGGCTGAAAAGGCCAGAGGTTGTTGGGGGTATGAGGATGGCGAGGAAAAGTTCCCATCGACCAGTGCCGAGAGGTACTCGTCACTGTTTAGCTCGTGGCCTGGCGTCTGCGGGGCGCCGTTAGGGAATAGCGCAGTCGCGTCGAACTGTGGAAGATCCAGGTTGGCGGCGAAGTCTGAAAACGAGGGTAGAGCTTGTTGGTCCTGACCCTGCTGGGTGTTGTCCGGTGTCAATATTCCCCAGGGGTTGACGGCGTGGTTGTTAGGGCGCAGTTGTTGCTGTTGCTGAGTGCGGGTGGCGTTTGGGGACCCTGAAGTCGGAGCCGCTGTGGGTTCTGAGTCGTCGTCGAGCTCGATGGGTGCCTGACTGCTGCCGCCTCGAGCAGCACCCCAGTCCACGCCGGGGAGGTGGTTCACGGATCGACCTGAAGCAGTTCGTGTCGGCTGCGGCAGAGGAGGCGTGGGTAGAAACGGGATGAGGCCCGGCATGGGAGGAATGAGGAAGCGCCGGTCGTCTGCAGCGCAAGAGGAACAATAGTCAAAGTCAGAGACGAGGCATCCGGGGTCCCAAAAAAGGCAGTAATTGATAGACAATGATGCAAACTGTGCAAGGAGGCAGCTAATTACCTGACAAGTATCCGCTGAAGGGAGAATGGTGGTCGACAAAGGGGTCCTTGGCCATGTCGACGTGACGAAAGAAAGGTGGTGGAGGGGACCGAAGAAGAAGGCGGGATGACGGTTGGACGTGCTTGCTAGTGTCGTAGTTTCGGGGTTTAGGCGCGGGTTCGGCGATTGATTTGTTGCTGACCAGTTGCTGCGGACGGGCAATTGCTCTACGATGTTCGAGTAACAGCGGCAACTGCGGCCGTGAATGAATCAGGTCAGCAGTCCTCTCTTGCAGGGACACTGGTGGCGACGGACACTTTTTTAACGCACCTCACTCTTGGGCCATGACACTTTTTGTCTGGACCCGCCAAGGGGAAAAAAATTACATGTCCTCGGATCAGGATGCGTTTCTGCCTCGGGATTCCCGATTGCGTCAAGTGGCATACGCAGCGCTCGGTTCGTCAGAGGCCAGAGAAGAAAACACGACCCGAAAAAGAAAAGAGACGACAAAGGTGGCACTCTCCTCTTGTGCCTGCCTCTGCTTTGGGTTCTAGGCCGATCCCGGCGTCGTACAAGACGGCAGGCTACGTGCAGCAGCCATTGTCGGTCAGCTCTCACACGGCGCCCTGGTTCATTTGCGTTGCTGAACTGAGGCAGGTTCCAAATTGGCTCAGACTAGGTGGTTCGGCAAACGCGACACAGCACACAGGTGGTCGCTATGCCGCCATTTGAACCGGACATTAGCGACCCCGACTCTGTCCTGCTGATACCAGTTCGTCGTTGCACACGGCACAGCAGCCAAGTGTTTGCTCCCTCAGTCCCATCAGCAGGAAAAGTGGAGGATTCGTACCTGATTCAGTCGGCAAAACAACAGCATTGTGGGAAATCCAGATGCATGTCTCCCCTTTGGAAAGAAAAGTACTGAAAGCCCCGTGTAAAGAATCGAGACTGCCGGACCGGGCCGGAGGTATCTGACCCACAGTGCCGAGAGAGCGGGGGGCGAAGGGCGGCCATTACCCTAGGAATCCGCCAAATTGGCCAAATGCCGGATGTAAGAACCTGACGCTTCACTTCAATGCTCTCAGGCTATTGCGCCATTTTTGCACCATTTCAGCGCATCGAGCCATGATGAACTGCAATCGGGACAGGCATCTCAACAATGAATCCAACCACGGATGGTCATAGTTGCTCTCACGCTGTTTGGTCAAAGCCTGGAAAACAATTACATTGTACACCCCAATGATCGTGCACGGTGATCTGGATCGGCTCGGGTGGTAAATTCCACAGAACTGATGCGTTGAAAACGCGCTTGAAAACGGACTCGATAGCACGCGACAATGACTTCGATCGGGTCTACTGAAGCGATGACAAGAGTGTATCGAACAGAACTCCCCATACTGAATCCAAGTGTCTCCGAAAGTTGGAACCGTCTGGTGCCTCAAGGTCGCTTTCCACGGTCGCTTTCCACGGCCCAGGCAGGCGGGAGACCCTTGAAGCTCGAAAGGTGGGGATGACCAGGTGAGCTGAGCAAAGCAGGCAATCCCAACGATGCCGATTGGCTGCGATCCCTGCGGCAGCACAGGGACCCAAGCTAAGGTAATAACGCGCCCCTCTTCCGCCCCGCTGCCGCCCCCTATCGCGACGCCTATCTCAGTGGTGACGGCAACTTTCGATTTTTCGGCTGGCCTCGTCGTGCGTCGCTCGTTCAGCGTCACACATTCAGCTCCTGCACATCCTTCACCTCGCATCCAGGTTATGTTTCGCGACCACGCATCGACAATACGCATTTAATAAACAATCACTGCGGCATGCCGCACGGCCAACCCAGCGATGGTTGAGATCGCAAACCATGTCCTGAGGAGTTCGACCGCAAGCTTCGTCCGCTTAGCTCGACACCATGCTTCCCGTCGCCTCGCATGGCGCTTACACGTTCGGTGGCAATCTGCCATCGCTTCAGATGCCTCCAAGACCGAAGGCATTCGGGGATTACAGCAGACCCTGGCTAGTATGAACATGCGCCCGTCTAGATGCCTGCCAGGCCATTCGCTGATATCTACAGTCCCATCGCAACCGCGTTTCAACGACATTGGGGTGCAGCACCTCAGCGCCCATGTATATAAACAGCTATTCCCCGATGGAAACGCCCCGCCGCCTCCAGAACTTGTTGAGCTATCCAAGGACCACTTGCGCCGACACGACCTGCTCGGCAAGAACACGGACAACAGCGAGCCCATCGCCTTCGATCTACCTGAGCTTCAAGGACGAACACTAGACGAGCACTTCCACAAGCTGGCCGTCGATTGTGCCGAGCCATACCTTTCTTTTGCGAAACAGTTTGCGCGGGCGAGTGCACCTCCGAAGCCGCGAAAATGGATTCATCAGAGTGGCTGGACTAAGTACTACCCCGATGGCCGAACCGAGGCAGTCGATGCGCCCGATGAAAAGATGCTCTGTTTTGATACCGAAGTTATGTGGAAGGAGAGTTCGTTTGCCGTCATGGCTTGTGCCTCGAGCCCGACGGCATGGTATGCCTGGCTGTCCCCTTGGCTCTTGGGCGAGACCAAGTCTGATCGGCATCTGATACCACTGGGCGACCCGACCAAGGAGCGTATAATAGTGGGACACAATGTTGGGTATGACAGGGCGAGGATATTGGAAGAGTACGACGTGAAACAGACTCGCAACTCTTTTCTGGATACCATGTCGCTTCACGTGGCTGTGAATGGCATGTGCTCGCAGCAGAGACCGACGTGGATGAAGCACAAAAAGAGTAGGGAACTACGAGATAAAATCGCGAGCGAAACAGACGACGTGCAGCTCGCGGAGCTCTTAGGCAACACCGCACTGCGGCAAGAGGAGGAGGAGCTGTGGGTGGAACGAAGCTCGGTCAACTCGCTCCGCGATGTGGCCAAATTTCATCTCGACGTCACTATTGACAAGGCCGTTCGCGACGAATTCGGCTCCCTCGACCGGGATGGCGTGCTGAGCAAGTTGGACAACCTACTCGACTACTGTGCTGCGGATGTGGCAATCACTCACAGGGTATATCAGATTGTGTTTCCCAACTTCTTGGACACCTGCCCCCATCCCGTCAGCTTCGCGGCGTTGCGACACCTTTCATCCGTCATTCTGCCCGTCAACAAGACGTGGGACGCCTATATCCACAACGCCGAGGCCACCTATCGAGAGCTCTCTGATGCCGTACAGGAGCGTCTGATCGGGCTTACCGAGCAGGCTCTCCTCATCAAAGACGACCCCGGAAAATGGAGCAACGATCCATGGCTGAAGCAGCTGGACTGGTCTGGCCAGGAAATCAAGATGGTCAAGGGGAAAAAGAAAAATGACCCCCCCCGACCAGCCGCGAGACAGAAGAAGCCAGGCATGCCACAGTGGTACAAAGACCTGTTCCCAAAGAACGATGCGCCCATGGCCATCTCCGTACGAACCCGCATCGCGCCTATCCTGCTCAAGCTCGCGTGGGATAATCACCCGCTATTCTGGTCGGACAAGTACGGCTGGACGTTCAGAGTGGCGTATAGCGAAGCGACGGCCTACGAGCAAAAGCAAATGATCGAATGCGACTTCTCTGATTCAGAGAGCGACGCGGCACTGCTCAAGGAAGAAGGCATCTTTTTTAAACTGCCCCACAAGGACGGACCCACGGCACGGTGTGTTAACCCGATGGCCAAGAGCTACTTGGCTTACTTTGAGAAGGGCACGTTGTCGTCAGAGTATGCGTACGCCAAGGAGGCCCTGGAGATGAATGCGTCGTGTTCGTACTGGATCAGTGCTCGTGACCGCATAAGGTCACAAATGGTGGTGTACGAAGACGACCTGCCAGCCGAGGGCAAGAAGACGAGTTCCAAGAAGAAGAGTCCCGAGGACATTCAGGGCTATATTTTACCCCAGGTGATACCCATGGGCACTATTACGAGACGAGCTGTTGAGAACACGTGGCTCACGGCGAGTAACGCAAAGAAAAACAGAGTCGGATCGGAGCTCAAGTCGATGGTGAAGGCACCGCCGGGCTACTGCTTCGTCGGGGCTGACGTTGACTCGGAAGAGCTGTGGATTGCGAGTCTGGTCGGAGACGCAACGTTCAGACTGCACGGTGGTAACGCTATTGGATTCATGACTCTAGAGGGCACAAAGGCCGCTGGCACAGATCTCCACTCGCGGACGGCAGGCATCCTCGGCATCACGAGGAACGACGCCAAAGTCTTCAACTATGGTCGCATCTATGGTGCAGGCCTCAAGTTTGCCGGCCAGCTGTTGAGGCAGTTCAACCCGAACCTGTCTGAGCAGGAGACGAACGCGACTGCGTCCAAGCTGTACGCCACGACAAAGGGCACCAAAACCAATAGATCCGTACTCAGCAAGCGGCCGTTCTGGCGTGGCGGGACCGAGTCGTTCTTGTTCAACAAGCTGGAAGAGTTTGCCGCCCAGGAGCGACCGCGGACATTTGTTCTGGGGGCCGGCATTACGGAGGCGTTGATGCGCAGATTCATCAATCAAAACGGGTACCTGACGTCGCGCATCAATTGGGCCGTTCAGTCATCTGGTGTCGACTACCTCCACCTCCTCATCGTCAGCATGGACTACCTCACTAGACGGTTCAACATTGACGCCCGTCTCGCCATCACCGTCCACGACGAGATCCGATACCTCGTCAGAGACCACGACAAGTACCGCGCCGCGATGGCGCTGCAGGTGGCCAACGTCTGGACCAGGGCCATGTTTTCCCAGCAAGTGGGTATTCACGACCTGCCGCAGTCGGTGGCGTACTTCTCTGCCATTGACATTGACCACGTTCTCCGCAAGGAGGTCGACATGGACTGCATCACGCCGAGCCACAAGACACCAATTCCTCACGGAGAGAGTCTCGACATCACCACGCTGCTTTCCAAGGGTGCCGAGGCCCGCCTCGATCCTGCGATCGTGCCCGACCCCTCCCAGGCGCCTAAATTTGACGGAATCGAGTACACGCCTCGCACGCCCGTCATGGATACGCTGGAGGACTCAGCGTCGGCCGATCCCTTCTTCCTCAAGGCACAGATTGTCAGCTCCGAAATGGAGCTGAGCCAGGTGCTCAAGGACAGGAGACAGGCGCTCAAGGCGCAGGAAGAGAAGAAGCCCAAACCGCCCAGGACCAAGAAGGAGCGCAGCGTGTTGCCGTACCATTCGGACGCGAAGCTTGTCCCGACGATGACCGTATCAGACGCGCTCGGACACAGGTTTTCGCGCTTCGACGGCAAGGGCAAGTGGACGACGTGGCAGAAGGACAAGGGCGTGGGCCGTTCGGGGCCCAGCTCCAGTTATAATGTAAGATGAGATGAGTTGGCGGTATTGTACGAAGTTTTGTAAATGCCGGGACGGCGCCTGTCTACTATGTATTATCTACCGCAGGTGGTGTAAAAGTTGGAGCTTGTTTGATTGGGGGCAGCGAGTCGGTGTTTATGCTGGGCCTGGCGTTGAATTGTATCTGGAGGAACGGCGACTTTTCGTCTGCAATGTCTGATACCAATCACATGTCTTATACCAATCACAACTGTTTTTACCGCTGCCACGATCTGGATTACTCGTTTTCGTACGTCTACTTGCTATACTGTTTACCGGGCTGTGTTTTTGACTGTCTGGCCATGGATCGAATTGAGACTCCTGCTCCGCAGATCGCAAGGCTTATTCGGCTGGCTTCATGCTGTCTCAAGAAAACCATCCCCGATGCCCTGCTCAACGAAACGTCCGTAGTGCGGTCGGGGGCCTAACGACCTTCTAACTAGGTAGTGGCAACATCCAACCTTCAGCATAAGCCCGTTCACACACCACCACATCTTTGCCCCTGTGCTGAAGGATTTTTTTTCTATTTGTTCTTTTTTCAAGACGTACAGATTAATGGGTACAACGGTACTGGTCAAAGCCAAACGAACGCCAAAAGCCCCAAGACAAGCTATTAAGTTCCCTCCTCTGAAGAACACCCCAAATAACACCACAAGACCAGGCCTTTGCAAGCCGTGTGAACAATGTACCGGGAAAAAAAAAAATAGAAATCCGACTCCATTTGTACACTCCCATCTTACAACCACACATGCGCAACCGACCAGCGGCGTTGATGCTTCTTAGTTCATCCTGACCTTACCTTCAACACGATCCACGCCGCGATACGGTAGCCGACGACAATGGAAAGTATAATGCCCACGTCCCTCCCCAAGTGGTTCTCCGTGTACCCGTACGTGTCGAGCACGCCCTGCCCGGCAATCTTGCACTGGCTCGCGAGCGAGGTCTGGTACATGCACTGGCACCCCTGGCCGCAGGTATACGTCCGCTTGCCGAACTCGTTGTGCATCATGCCCTCGAAGACGTATTTTTGGTAGTCCCAGTAGTGGAAGACGTACTTGTAAAACGAGTTGAGGATGGTGGGGGAGACCATGAAGCCGTTGACGCTCATCCAGAGTCCGTTGGCGAAGGCGACGAGGGCGAGGCTGATGACAAAGTTGGGGAAGAGGGAGACGAAGAAGACCACGAGGGACTCTGCGGCCAAGAGGTCGAGGAAGAGCCAGAGGACCCAGATGAAGAAGGCGTCGACGGCCGGGCGGAAGTTGGAGAGCCAGTAGGAGATGACGGAGAAGATGAGGGCGATGAGGAAGAGGTAGGGGATGCCGATGAGGAAGTTTGAGATGAGCAGGGCCGTAGGGCCGTAGAGGCCGTTTTGGTGCTCTTTTACGTACTGGTCGCGGTCTTCGAGGAACTGTTGTGGCTCTGTCAGTCATGGTCGCAAAGGGGTGGTTGGAGGTTTCTGCATACACTTGGCACCGCGGCCACTGCCATGAAGCTCATGAAAGCACCGCCAAAGAACTAGCATGTTCGTCAGTACAACCAAGGAATCCGATTTGAGTTGTATTCATATCTATCCTTACAATGGCATTGGTCAAGGGGATAATGGACTCTTGGTCGGCAGAGAGGCGGAGCCAGACCGTACCCATCATGATAGCAAGACCTTATTTCGTCAGTACCGAACCCTCTCATCACGAACCAGACTCTGTAAAGCTCACCAGTGTACATGACAAACCGGATCCCGTACGCCACGACATCCCTGTAACTCTTGATGAAGCTGCGGTGCAGCAACGTGAGCGCAAGACTCGGCAAACCGGGCTTCTTCTCTGACTGGCCGTCGTCGATGGGGTTGCTATGCTTCTCGGTGTCAACGATGGCGGCCCGCAGCTCTTTGGCGGGTCGTGACTCCTCCCAGGCCTCGTGCATTGCCTCGAGCCTCTGCGCCGCCTCGCGCTTGTCCTTTACAAAGTCCATGTTGACCATCTCGAGTACGTGCTCGGCCGGGTTCACTTGTAGGGGGATTGGCATGCCGAGGGACTCGCAGTGGGGGACCACGTTGTTGACGGGGCCAAAGTAGTGCGTCTTGCCGGCGGAGAGGAGGAGGAGCTTGTCAAAGAGGTTAAAGGTCGAGGTCGAGGGCTGGTGGATGGAGGCGATGACGATGAGCTGCCGTGTGTTAGCTTTGAGTTGAGCTGAGCGGGGGCTCGACTTGCATTGCTCCTCTTGGCCACGGTCTTGAGGTAACTAATCACCTCGAAGCTCGCCGCGGAATCCAACCCGCTCGTCGGCTCGTCCAGGAACATAATCTTGGGGCTCGTGATGAGCTGGCTGGCCACGCCGACGCGCCTCTTCTGCCCGCCCGAGATGCCCTTGCGGATCGGCGTCCCGATGATGGTGTTGGCCTGCTCGTTGAGCCCAAAGGCGTTGAGCAGGCCGTCGATGCGCGCGAGGCGCTCGGCGGCGGGCAGCGAGGACGTGCTGGACAGGCGCGAGGTGAAGAGCAGGGTCTCGCGGACGGTGAGGGAGCCGATGAGGGCGTCCTCCTGCTCGACGAAGCAGCTAATCTGGCGGAACTGCGAGCGCGAGGGCTTCACGCCGTTGACGAGCACGGAGCCGCCGACTGAGGATGCGTTTGTGGGCCGACCGGCAAGGACGTTGAGCAGGGTTGTCTTGCCGCAGCCCGAGGGGCCCATGAAGGCGCAGATCTCGCCTGATTACAGCGTATCAGTATGGTGTATGATTCCAAAGAGTACATGACTTACCGGCCTCCACGAGCCCATCGACGCGGTTGACAATCTTCTTGGGCTGCTTCGTCACTCTATCCTTGACGGTGACCTCAGTGCCCTCCCATGAAATGTTCTGGACGGTGGTATTGAGCAGATGGGCGTCCACGGACCCCATCATCTCGACATCGTGCTCGAAGAAGCTATTGTTGTCGCCCTGCGTCATCTTGGTGTGCTCCTTCTTCGCACCCGAGGCGTCGCTGTCTCGAATCCCCATGGCTTCAACGTGCTCGTGAATTTTCGACGGGACTCTTGTAAATCGTTTTTGACAGGAATCTAGGAAGCTTACGAGCAGTCCGGGGGTTGTACTAAAGACAATACAACGAAATATGAGATATATGAGTACCAAGGAAACAATTATAGCACATCGGCAAAACAAGGAGAAGGAAGCATATGTTTTATTAGAACCTTTCCTCCTTCTCATTCCTCATCTGGGGAACCGACATCCGCCCAAACATGTAGTCTAACGGCTCGCCAGGGCCGCCGTTGCCTGTGTTCCGCTGTGAGTTGACCGTTTGAGGCTAAACCAGACAATAGGCTTCATTCCTGTCGCGCTAGTAATCGGCGACCATGATGTGAGATGTCCCTTTTAGCTCCCAGGCCCCTCCCTCTCACCCTCTTCCCCCACGGCCTTCCCAAAGACAAAGTGCCGAGTCAAGGGTGTGGCGCAAGCACACTAGAAACACACAGCAAGCGAGTTTACGGTTGCCCGTACCTAGTCCCCACAAACCAGACACTCTCATTCTTCCCATATGGATTGCACGTGTCCCACACAATAGATCTAATCTCATTTGGAGGGTCCCATCAATCTGGAAGAGGTTGCTGCTGTACCTGAGCGTGTGGACCGGCATGCCCGGCAAAGCCATAGGAAGACTCCTTTGGAAACCGGGTCCCGACGCGGGAACCCTTGACAATGACGTTGGAGGGGCCTTCATCTATCATACAGTAGCCGTGGGGGCGGCCATCTCCAAGCCGCGCCGAGGTGGGTGTGTTGTGCTGTATTCGTAGCTCCCCGTCTCAAGGGAGATGGGGGAAAAAACCATCTGAGGTTTTGAAGGTGGTCCCCGCGACTTCCCGCCGCGGCGCCGGTTGCATTCAGCCCCTTCCTCCCGCACCTTCGCTAACCAGTGCTACCGTGACATTGAATACACAAAACGAGGTCCTGCCGATAGCCGAAGCAGCAAACGTCCGATCTCTAGCACTCAGTAGCGTGGAAACCGAGGGGGAGGAAGATTAACTGGTCCCCGAGAAGAAGGATTGAGAGTTCGGACGGCTTCAAAGTGGACGCCGAGCAGTGGCGACGGGATGTCCACGCTAATTTACATCGAGACGCACACACAAACAAAAAAATAGACACCTGCTTGATACCCTGCAGGTGGTGTGCATGTACCGGCTTGTGTGTCCGCACCTGAGCTCGGTGAAGCGATTGGACCAGTTGAATCAGAATCTCGGTCTTGAGGGAAGGGAGTGGTCTCATTTTGACCCGCGTAAAAGGGCTGGTTTTAGGTTGTACTCTCCAAGGGTGTCGTAAATTAAAATGGGGGACTAGCTTAAAGAATGGGGAAGCGGGCACCCCTTGGTCTTCGAGATCCTCCAGTCCCACGTTATGCCATATGGACAGGCATCGCATTACCTGGTGACTGGACTACAAGCGGGCCTGTGGTTCTTGGCTGGCTGGAATTACAAGGCAGCAAATCTGATAATCAAGGACCCAATATTTCGCATCGAGCTTATGCCGCCGCGTAGATTGTATGAGCAGAGATATTTGCCGTTCAGGCCAATACATACAAGACTATTTGTCTCACGACCAACCCATTCCAAACGCCTCCCACTGCTCGGCGCGCTTCCCGAGCTGGTATATCGCTAATCAAATCAACAAATGGCCGCATGTCGTACCGACGCCCCTTCGTCTTCTCACCCTGCCGTTAAATACCACTCAAACCTACTAGAATTGCTGTTGCTTCAGACAATGTCCCCAAAGCCTGATTCGTACACCAATGCTCCGCCCCGGGCTCTAGCCAGGGAGGTTGTCGAGAGGCGGCATCGTTATCCCACTCAATCCAGTCTCAATGTCGTTCATAATCGTCTCGTCCGCCGCGATGCTGTTCATCACCTCGTCCTGCGTGAAGCCCTGCCAGTAGGCCGGGTTGATCTGTGACGCCTTCTTCGATCGATAAATCTCCTGCGCAACTCCCTTGACTTGCCCTGAAGCGTTGCCCGCCGCCTTCCACACTGCCGAGAGCTTGTTGAGGGCGCCGATATTCAGTCGTATCTGCTGTCGCAGGTCGTCATCATCGTGAGGGATGAAGAATAGTGCCCATTTGCTCAAGTGGACGATCGAGGATAGTGTCACTACGCAGGTGAAGAAGTGCGTGTGGGAAAGGAGAGGCACGCGGTGCGTGATCATCTTGCTGATTTCGGCAGCCGACGAAATTGTGTGGTTCGTGTGCGAGTTGAACAAGTCCCCGGATGGGACTGGTCGGTGCGGTGCGCAAGATGTGACAGACCGCGTCGGCGAGGAGTCCAGCTGAGAGTGCGGTTGGTGAAGCATGATGGATGTTCTGTGCCACGTCAGTTTGGTATTGCTCATATGCCATAGGGCGTCAGACGTACGCATGGGTCATCATGCTAGCCTGGAATATCATCTCATCCAGCTGGAGCTTCTGGTTCAGTGCGTCCTTCTTGGATAGTGGCAGGTGAAGCCTCCAGTTGGTCAGGAGGGCCTCGATGCGCGCAAGGTTCTCATCGTCAGGACCGAATATTGGCGGGACGCGCATGAACTTTCCGAGGTTGCGCCCCGCAAGGATGCGGTATGCAAACGAGGAAAATTGCCTGTCGTCTCCGGAGAAGTCTTGGTCTTCCAGATCCGTTAGGGTCAAAGGTGGTGGAATGCTCTGGTCCAGAATGTTAGCCTTTGGCCGTGGCACAAGACGCTGAACGACTCACTCCAGATATATACTGGTGCTCCTCGCACGGGAGGGCGGCATCGGCGGGTTCATCAAAGAGGACAAAGTTGGTCTGACGATGGACGCCAGCCACCATGCCGTCTACAACGAATAAGTCCCACCACGTCCTACGCCAGCTCTCCTCCAACACGGGGATGCCGCGCCCATACTGTGTCGCATATTCACGGGTGTTAAATCCGAGTTCAAGGGCGATACGCTCGGCATCAGCGAGTAGATTTCGAGCCTCTTCCTGCTCACAGCTGCCGTCCATGCCTACGATCAGCAGGATCAGGGCCTGCAAGAAGAAGCCGTCCCGCCGAGTCGTTGGGTCCTGGACCAGACGCAGGGCCTCATCCAGGAAACCGGCCCGCGCAGGGCCCACGTCGAGGAAGAGAGCGCCAACCCATCGAATGGCAGCCAGGAGAGGCTCCATGTTGGTGTCTCTCATGATCCGAAGCAGCCATTCCTTGGGCAGTACAAACGGGTGCGAGGCATGGAAATGGTGATAAAAGGAGTCGAGACATCGCTCAGCCAAGGTAGGCACGGGGACTTGTGTAGGCACACCCGGTTGAGACTGACCCAGGGCCAGCTGGGTCGAGTTGAAGCCGATGGCAGCACCGAAAGACCGGTACAGCTGCAGGTTCGAGAAGTTGGGCGTCGCGGCAAAGTCGGTGCTCGGCGTATGAAATGCCATTCCATTCTGCATCGTCATGGGTACTGAAGTGCCGTTGGCGCCAATGAGCAGGGGACAGCTGCTATCGCCGACGCCTACGGTGGAAGTGGGGGACGAAGATCGCGCTCTCTTGTTCGGATTGGCGGTATTATTCCTCCTCGGGCCCTTGTAGCCGCGCCGAGATGCGACGTAGACGCACTCCGACTGCGAGCTCACGCATCGCGAGCACGGGTTCTGGCCGTCGCACTTGAGATGCTTGCTGCGCTGTTGCAGAACAAGGTTGGGTCAGTCTCAGTCTCACTCTCGCGCGAAGAGGGTAGTGGTGCCCGTCTCGCCGCCGCCGCCGGAGCCAATGGGGACGGGCGACAGACGATGATGACGGGGCCTGACATGGAAGTGCAACTTACGCATGCGAGACATGCAGCGGGCACTGCTACAACAGGAGGCTGTTGACCTTGGGATCGGGAATCACTGGTTGCCGAGGAGGGTGCGTTTGGCGAGTCGCGTTCGGCTGGCGACTCCGAGTCGGGCACCATTATCAGCGGGTTCGGGGACCCGTTGCTGTGTGTGGTGTGTGTGCTCCCCGGAGGAGGTGGGACTTGGGGCGACAGCGAGGATTGCATGTCGAACACCCTTCCGGTTGTTGCGGGCGATTGCCGAGGGCTCCCAGGGTTCGTACTCGACTGTGAATGTGTCGATGTTCTCAGAACACACTCCGGCAAGGCGGGCAGCGATGGGGTGGTTGCAGGAGGGAAGAAGACGCTTGGTCGGTGACAAAGAAGGTGCAGAGGGCGTATTAGTGTCCGTAACGAGAGCAGAATGTTTGTGACCTTTGGCCCCCAAAAGGCAGCAAGATTGAGGGAGCCGTCCCGGCGGCGGCGGCGCACGGATGCGGTGGGTTGAACCCGTCAAAGGTGCCTAGACCCTACAAGAGACCCCTCTCCACGCGAGCTGGGGCTGGCCAACTGGACCAAATTGGACCAGTCTCGAAGCTGCGGTGGCTTAGGCGTCGTGTGCTAGGTACCCTTTTTTTGGTGTTGCCGTTGGAGTCGGGACGGATGCGGGTAGGGATGAGATCGCTGTTGGTGGCTTGCACTGTTGTTCCTCTCGTGTGTGTGGCGTGGTGGTTGTTGTATCCGTAATTGTAAAATGTTTGTCGAGTGGAGACCGGGTTCGGGGAAGCGGGTCCGGGCAGAGAGAGTCAGAAGCTTAGAAGTGCCAGGTGCATATCGTGATGGTCACTGTGTGTGTCTCTTGCGTTTGATGCAATGGAAAGAGGGGGATAGCATCCAGAAGTCACCATGATTTCCAATGTGGTCCGAATCGAGAGTCTGAAAGCCACTTATACAACCCGAGCAACCAGGCGCCGCTCCCACGGCGGAGGGTGGGCGGCTGTCGGCACCACCGCTAAAAGGTGGCAGCCAGTCCCTGCAGCTGAGCGCCGGCCGCGGATATCGGCCTCCTCATGAAGACTCAGCCTTGTAGACCACGGGTCAGACGCCATGACCTTCCAGCTTGACCCGCGATCGACCTTACGAACTAACATGTGCAGATGCGGCAGTGAAGTTGGATACAGACTACCTGGTCACACGACTTGACTTCATTTATACCCATTGACGCGTTTGGATGCCTGGAGTCGGCAGTACGTCAAATTCCCGTCATTCTCCATCCTAATAGGTGAAGTAGCCCGAGATGAGCTAGGGGAGCGAGGAGAGCATCGATATCCAGCCGTTTCCAACGTGGCATAGTTTACAGCTTCCTGGTGACGCATGAAGAATTGCCAGCGGCCGGCCAGTGAAATGCCGCCCGCTTCGAGATAAATGCCAAAGCCTTTGGGGTTAAATGCGCAGCCAGGCCGACAGGTCCAAAATGGGGAAATAGGTTGGCTGGGGATGTGCCAGGTTGCTCCCAGATCCAAAAAGTGGTAGTGTGACTGTCTATGTCGTGAAGAAAAGGGAAGAAATGGATGATCAGTTACCTCATTCAACTCTTTCAATGCGCTGCTATTCGCTCAATGGGCAGCGGGGCCTAGAGTCCGGCATGGCAATCGGTCGGCCCCGAGAAAGTGGGTCTTACAACACCGGCGGCCCGTCGGGCCTGGGCTAAGTCAACCTCCCGTGCCAAGATCAATGGAGTCACATTATACCCGGCAATCGTGGGTCGCAATAGAGAAGTTGACATATTTGGAAATGTACAGCCTAAATTCCTGCAGATAAAAATCGTTTCAAAGACGCGGTATAAGCTAAGCAGCTTTCTTGCCCATTACAATTGGCATTCCGGGGCTGACGACACTCCCGGGTGGTTTTGCAATCTTCGTCACAACCACTCCCACATGGGAATCGGGAACAGTCACCTTGATCTCCATCTTCATCGCCTCCAAGATCGCCACCGTCTGTTTTTCTTCAAGCATTTGCCCGACTTCAACCAGGACTTTCCAAACGTTGGCATTCATGGGCGACTCGATGGCCACAGCGTCTGCTGATGCTCCGTCCCCGTCGCCTTCGCTTTGTTTCAACAGATCCGCAGCCTTGGCGGCAGTCCATTCTCCAAAAAGCTGCTGTTCGAGTTCTCCCATCTCCTTGGCCGCGGCGATCTGGCGCTGGCACCATTCATGATGCGCGGGATCACGGGCTGCGGCGTCGAACTTGGCAATGTAATCGTCCATGCTGATGGCCGCGTCGGAAATGTCAAATACATATCTACCGGCCTCAAAGTCGCGCTCTACTTGGTCGAAATCCTCCCTGGAGACCTCGTGGAACCTGACAATGTCGAAGTGATTGAACAACCAAGGTCGCGCCGGGGAGAAACCGGGTCGTGTGCCCATCATGTCCCATGTACCCAACGTGCGGCCCATGAGCTGGTAGCCCCCTGGCGATGCCACAGGATATACGACCAGTAGAGAGCCACCGAGGGCGACTGAGCCGCTCGGGGTGTATGCACGGTTGGGGTTGTACTTCTGCCCCGTGAACACGTATTTAGGGTCGAGCGGGAACATGACTGGGGTTCCGAGGAAGAAGCCGACGGCGACTGTGAGCCAGGGCGTCTTCAGCAGCGAGTCAAATACATCGCGGCGAGTTTCCAACGCGTTGTTCTTCCGCAAATACTCGACGTTATCCGGGAGGTAGGCGGCAGTGGGGCGGACGCTTTCCATGTATCGTTCCGTCGCTTCAGTGATGGTGGGGTGGTCTACATACAGCGGCAGGTTGACTTCGCGAACGGGCACTTTGATGCCGACAATCTCTTCGATGCTCTCGTCCTCTTCAACCAGACTCTGCAGCAGCTCGGACTGAGATATCAGAAGCGGGTCGTAATGCACTGTGAGTGTCGCAAGGTTCGGCTCGCAGCGTGCACTCGCAAGATCCCGCGCGGCAAGCTTTTCCTCGAGAATATGAACGCAGACAGTGTTGCGCAAATCCGCGACTTGATGGCCATACTCTACAATGATGGACGTATCGCCACCTTGCCTGTAAGTGACGCGGGGATGATCGCCGTTGGGCTTGGCCATGTGCAATATTGAAGTCGTGGTCCGGAAGCCGAATTCCATCTTGAGCGGCAAAACTTCCGTCTCTTTACCATCCACAAGAGCACCCAAAGACTTCAAGTATGACTCGTTGGTGTTTTTGATCCTCATGGCATCATCAAAGGACACAAGTCGCAACCGGACTCCATCGCCCGGCTTTAGTTGACCAACTTTCCACATCTCGGCCGAGCAGATGGTGACAGGGCAGGCAAACCCGCCCAGGTCCGGCCGGTCGCGGGAGAAAATGATTGGATATTCTCCGGTCCAGTTGACACCGCCGTTCGGATAACCGTAGTCAAAGACGTTTGACGGATGCGATCCGCCTCCCCCACCGCTGGTGCGTGCCCATTTCAGCCGCGGCCCCTCCAGTCGAATGCCGCTGCGGCTGCTGTTATGGCTGACGGTCCATTTGGAATTGGTAATTGCCGCCATGCCCTCGGCAGTAAGAATGTCTTCTGAGCCGTAAGGACCATTTAGGCAGCATATCTCCGAATATTTGTAGTCGGGAACAGCCTTCCGTGGTAACGAAAAGTGTGTAGCTGCGGCTGCCCATTCGGCTGACTCCGGGGCAAGCGCGAGGATATCATTGATCTGCAGCTTGCGTCCCTGAAGACCGCCAAAGACGAGCTCTGGTGCTGTTGACTTGGAACCGAGGTAGAGAGGTACGTCCGGGAAGCCGCCTTTGATTGCAAGGTACGTCCGTAGACCGTCGCCAGTGACGTCGCCAACCTTGAGCTTTTGTCCCTGCATCACAATAATTCTGGACCACATCGGCAGGTCCTTGCCGTCAACACTGAGAGGCGCTTGGGCACCACATACGGCCACGACGGCTGATTTATGGAATAGGAGTTCCGGGCCAGACATGGCTATCTCGAGGACCTCGACCCGAGGGTCATTGCCGACGAGAATGTTTGCTGCTCGACTGCTTAAATCATCCATTGGCCCGCCAGGAGGCACGCCGTGTCCTATTGTTGGTCGCCCAGGGTAATCCTGGATCGTAGTGAAGATTCCAGGGTTGAGGACTTGTACAGCGCACACCTCGGCCGTGAAAGTGGACAGAAGAGAGGTGAATGTGTCACCTTTGGTGAACCCATCAGAACGTAGCACCTGCGACAGGTAATGCAGGTTCGTCTGTGTGCCTTGCAAAGCTGTTTGGTCCAAGGCGGCGAGCATCTTTCTCTGCGCATCGGCTCGACCGTGGCTGCTGTGTACCATTATCTTGGCGATTAGAGGGTCGTAAAGTGGCGTGATCTGCTGCCCGCTCTGTACCCACGTATCTATACGGATGCCATCGCCTTGGGGCCAGCTGACATGTTGCAGAAGACCCGGGCTGGGAGCAAAATCGAGCAGAGGCACTTCAGCATACACTCGAACCTCGATGGCCGCACCGTTTGGCTTTGCTTGCGGAAGACTTCGTAACTCTTGCGAGGGAATGCCGAGCTGACCGCTACGCTCGTAGTCGGCTTGATGAAGCATCAGGTGAACCAAATCAACGCCATGACACATCTCAGTGATCCCATGTTCGACTTGGAGACGCGTGTTCATCTCGAGAAAGAAGAAATCGGCCGTTTCATCGTCGACCAAAAACTCAACGGTGCCAGCACTCTTGTACTTGAGTTGGGAGGCATATTTGACTGCCGCCTGAAGCATCTTTTCGCGGAGGCCTGGCGTCCGCTCCACAAAAGGGCTGGGGCACTCTTCAATCACTTTCTGGTGACGTCGCTGGAGAGAACATTCCCTCTCACCGAATGCGACGACATCCTCGCCGTTTCCAAAGACTTGCACCTCGATGTGTCGGGACCGGGGGTAGTACTTTTCCAAGAAAACGCCGCTGTTCTTGAAGAGAGCGCCTGCCCGACTCTCAACCGCGGCGAATGCTTTCGGGATATCGTCGACGTCGTAGCATATCTGTAGGCCCATACCGCCACCTCCTCCAGTGGCTTTTAGCATGACCGGAAAACCAAGCTTCTTGGCCCACTCTATGGCTTCGTTCGTCGATGGGATCAACGAAGTTCCGGGGATGACGGGAACTTTGACGACTTCTGCAATGCCCCTCGCTTCATGCTTGAGACCCATGGCCTTGATAGAAGCCGACGAAGGGCCAATGAAGACCTTGCCCGCGGTCGTGACGGCATCGGCGAACTCGGCATTCTCGCTGAGGAAGCCATATCCAGGGAAGACAGCATCGGCTCCGGTGCGTCTGCAGATTTCCAAAATGGCGTCGCTAATGCGGTTGTTAGAAGCATGGTGGTAAAGCCATATCGGGGTTACTCACCCATCCGTGTAAGTGTCATTACCATGCAGCGCAGTCGCCTCGTCCGCCAAAGAGGCATGTAGTGAGGTTGTGTCGGCATCTGTATAGATGGCAACACTGTGGACACCGAGCTCACGACAGGCCTTGATGCACCGGACAGCAATCTCGCCACGATTGGCCACCAAGACCTTCCTAATGCTCCGAAGTGGTCTGGAATCCATAACTTCGTTGACGCTTCGACAGAGTCAGCAACAACTTGGACGCATTTGGAGGGCGTGGAGGAGCAAATTGTGCAAGCCCGGGTTACAAGACCCCAGTATATCAATTAGTCCATTCCGTTGGTCCGCATTTTGATGATTCGAAGACGGGACGCGCCCACACCGGGCCGGTGGCTATCCTGACTGCCTCTCCATGTCGTTACCCCAACAGCTACCCAGGAGAGGGGAACGCGTCCAGTAGCAATGCCGGAGTGTCGGTTCGAGATAAGGGATCGTCGGCGAAGTGCATGAAAGTTTGTCGGGTGGAGGTCATGGGGTGGTTGATTTCTGGTAAGATGATTGACCTCTTTTCTCTCCTGACGTTGTTGGCCTGTGAAATGTGGACGCAGCAACTACCCCGCATCGCAACGATTGATGGGGTTACAATACGAACCTACCTAGGCACACACTGCTCAGGAGCTCCCTGTCAGCAGAGTTCAGTGATAAGGACCACCAGATCCAGCGCAGCCGAAACCGCCAATCCCTACCTTACCTACCCCAATTGGATTTCTTTTGCTTTGGAGTAACTCCAAACCTTAGGTGGTATTGCTACCCCAACTGAGGTCCATCCATCTCGACCGTTGAAGCACTCACGTCTTATTAGACGACGTTATGGCAGCAAAGACACGATGCCTCCTTCGCGTCTACTCCATCGTCTCCCATTACGTCAGACGGCTTTTCGAAGCTTATTTCCCCACGGACATCGCCTTTTATCCCAGCACTTTAGAATGGCCTCGGGACTGGCGCGCAAGTACGAGATCAACGCCGACATGGGCGAAGGTTTCGGCCGCTGGAAGATGGGCCCGGACGAGGAACTGATGCCATACATCGACGCCGCCAACATTGCGTGCGGGTACCACGCCGGCGACCCTTCCATCATGCTCAAGACCGTTCGCTTGTGCAAGAAGCACGGCGTCAAGGCCGGAGCGCACCCGGGACTGCAAGACATGTTCGGCTTCGGCCGCCGAAAGATTGAGATTGACCCCAAGGACATGTACGCCATGGTGCTGTACCAGGTCGGCGCCCTCAAGGCCATACTTGACTCGGAGGGCGTCGAGCTGTCCCACATCAAGCCTCACGGAGAGCTCTTCTTCTACATGCAAAGGGACGAGACCATCATGAGGGCCGTCCTGGAAGCATGCGCCACGTTCGGGGACAACATCCCGGTCTACGCCTCGCAAAACGCCAGACAAGAAGCCATGTGCAATGAGCTGGGTATCCCGTTCCAAGGAGAAGTCTACGTCGACATTGATTACTCTCCAGAAGGGAGGCTCATACCGGTGGCACAGTCCAAGGTGGCCACCCCAGAACTCTGTTACAATAGAGCCTTGTCTGCATCACTCAAGGACGAGGGCAAGGATAATAGCGGCGGTGTCTTTAGCTTTGGGTTTGAGGGAAAGCCATTTAGCATCTGTGTGCATTCCGACCATCCGACGGTGCTTCAGAACGTTACGGGTGTGCGCAAGGCAGTTGACGAGGCGAACAAGCAGAGGTTCACTGAGGTTCCAAAATAGGGTTATCTCAATATGACTGCAATGATACTTCAAACAGTGCCATAAGAATTCCGATATTGTCATGAAAAATAATGAAGACATGCATGTGTCTCAGCGACGTCAAACCCACGTGGCCGTGCTGCATCAACTGGCAGGTTTGGGGTAAATGAACACTTGGGTACTGTATGTACGATGGTCCATCGGCACATTCCCGCCGACCCCAAACTCCACGATGCCCAATGTTCTGCCATCGTCAACTCACAAGCCGTATTGCCAGATACAAATCGTGCATCTATGTAAGTATTTCGTGGTTTGGGTTACAGGCTGGAAAGTTTCCAAGTCCTGGTCAGTTTGGTGAAGCCATATTTGGTGTCTAACTCCAAGTCGAGAGGTGGCCCGGGTGTCTTGAACGTCTCCCGCAACGTCTCAAACTTGTTTTGCCGTACAACGGCATCTATCAACAAGCTCTCCGCGACCTGGTAGCCTGGGCGGACGATCGAGTGTCTGCGCCAGACGCCACTTCGTCCACCATTTCCGCCGACGACAACTCTGTCCAGCTATGCCCGATGACGGCCGAGCGGCGAGGTAAGTATTCAGCCGGTTATTGAGCTTCTGGCGAACGGAGGCCGCAACAGTCGATACGCCTCCGGGGACTGGTAAAGTTGAATATCGTGTGGGATTTGCCTTTGTAGGGGACCATTGCTGATGTCGGGCCTGCAATTACGCCTGACCAGACTGTGGAGGTCAAACATACGGTCGTGTACAACACGACGGGAAACTATACTACAATTGCGCGGTTGGTATCTCCTCGTCAGGAAGGCCAAGGTGCTGCTTATGCGAGGGCGATGAATATGGCTGGCGTCAACGTTATTGTAGTGTATTCTTGGGCTCGTCTTAGAGTAGCTAGTCAATATCGAGATGTTAGTCATGTGCTGGCAAGAATTGTTGTTTGACGGTGCTATGAAATGATGGTGAATTATTTTGCGGGGTCTTGTATGTATCTAAGAGTCAGGCTTTAGGTAGGTACCTTCGATAGATAAGGTAGTGCATTGCGACGGAAATCTTTGTCCGGGTAAGTGCGGTTGGAAGGAAGGATTCTCCCACCGTCGTCAGACAAGGCGGGGTAAGGTAGGTCCTTAGGGTGCCTGCATTCCTGCCTCAGCGAGGGAAGTATATCGCCGCCAAACCCGAGTCCACGGCCTCTTGCAGAACTTCGCCGAGGCGTTGAATGTATTTTACACAAAACTAGGAAAGAAAGGCCAATCCCCCGAAGTTCCTGCTCTACCCACATTACCGACCTTGGATTCTGTTTACAATCTCACATCTCATCGCCACCACACCACACGCACACACGCACACGTTCGCAACCAAAAGAAAGAAGGCAGTTATGGATTCCCAAGGCACCCAAATGGTGAAGAAGCGGAAGCGGGGAGATGATAACGAGGCTGAGCAAGCTGGAGAGAAAGGCGGCAATCCTCCTGGCCTTCGTCGAGGCGCTATCCGTACCCGTACCATCGAGCTCGACTATGACCTCTCCGGTTACAAGGCTCACGAGGTTAGGAAGCTTGACATTTTGGCGACGGTACACGGGGTTGAGCGCCGAGTTGGGGAGATTTGGAATGTCAAAAGCTACAGTGAAGCCGAAAAAGTGAAGGTCTCCACGAAACAGCCCCGCCGTTCAACATTGCCTTCCCAAACAATGTTGGATTTGATGAACGAGTCTGAAAAAGAACAAATGGATTGGGAGAAGAGACATCTGGCGGAGTATACAGAGCGTTCGCACCTGCAACATGAGGAAGAGGCTCGTCAGGAGGAGGCTCGTCAGAAGGAGGAGAAGGCTCGCCAGGAGGAGGAGAAGGCTCGCCAGGAAGAGAAGAAGGCTCTTCAAGAGAAGAAGAAAGCTCTTCAAGAGAAGAAAAATGTTCGTCGGGAGAAGAAGGCCCGCCTGGAAGAGAAGAAGGCCCGTCAGGAGAAGAAGAAGGTCCGTCAGGAGAAGAAGAAGGTCCGCCGGGAGAAGAAATCTCTTCAAGAAAAAAAGAGGGCTCTTCAAGAAAAGAAGAAGGTTCGCGAGGAGAAGAAGTAGGCTCGACAGGCGAGGTATGTAGGGCCCCTGCGGTAGAAGGGACAAACTCGCCAGGAGCAGACCAATCACCAGGGTGCGGGCCAGAAGAGCTAGCAACTCATGCCGAGCGCTCCTCTGGTCCCTGCCAGCGGTCGTGGCGTTCAGCGATACGATGCACAGGGCTTTGGTGGTCAAGGATATGGGGGTCGAGATGGACGAGGTGGAGTCTGATTAACATCCTAAGGAGGGCATGGAGTTTGAGTCTGACTCAATAACGACATCAGAAGCGGAAAGGGTATTGTCGAAAATCCATCCTTCAGGATTTAGTTAGTTTCTGTTATGTAATCATAATCAGCACTCTTTTGTTTCGTCTGCAGACATGTCATGATTTGTTCTCCCGAGTCAACCTGTACATCTATGACTTCGTTACATGTTTGCGACCATATGCAGATGTCGTAGCATAGGAAGTACCCGGAGACCTGCGTAGACGCCACGCTTCCTTCCTCATCATAATACATTTCAAGCGCGACCCGGCTGTTGCTTAGCAGCACCCGCGTGGGCCAGTTTCTCAATTTTCGATACACTCTATGAAATCGACTGCCACTACAACATCATGATGCGAAATCGACTTTTTGCGAAGCTTGTAATGTCCAAATATTTACCAAAACAAAGTACTCTGAGCAACACTATAAGAAAAATTCGATGAGTTGCCCTACCAGAAGTGGTCGTGGCTTAAGAGAACTTACGAGCGCCTGATGTCGTCTTAGGTGCTCAGTGTCTCGGACGACCCCCATCTTTGTTCAACTGCATGTCGAACGCGATTCAACTCTCGGAACATGCAAGAAATCATGTCGCACAGATCACGATGGCGATTGCAATAATATTCATGGCAGTGCTCACAACTCAGGAGAATGTAATCGTCTGCCTTTCTGAGATGCATAATCTGGCATCTCAACCCCTTTGTAACGACAGAAAAAGTACACGCCGTCACTTGCTGATCTCTGCATTATGTTTTTGATGAGAGACAGTACACGTATCTATTGTTCCCGTCGTGGCCAACGTCCAAGCAGCCGACCAGCCGTTAAAAAGCAGCTAGGCGGCACCGGGCCGATCCGCACGAACACGTGGTCAGTGCAGATCAGTACCTTGAATACCTTAGCTGGGGCCGCTAGGCATGATCGGCACCTACTTTAGTCCTTAGGTTGGTGTACAGATCCCAAGAGCAACGCTCCTACATTCTCCACCTACCAGGCTACGTACTGCAATGCTCATCTTGGGGCGACTAGCCAAGGCCAGGATGATAGAAAAGTAGCGTTTTTCGTGTAGGCTGTTGACGATAAGAATCACCGCCATCACTGGCTTGTCGTATTGCTCGATGGCTTCATTGATGACTTTGACGTTGGCTTCCAGGAACGTAATTCTCGCCCCCACGATCTCTTGATCTTCGTCATGGCGAACGGCGGTGGCCACGGCCCCGGCGCCCTTTTTCTCAGACAGTATGATATGTGATAACTCAGAGAGCAACGCAGCGCTCCTTGATTCTACCCGTACCATAATCACCTACCCTACTTCTCAGTCCAAACATACCTCCCAGAAAGGATAAGTGAGACCAAGCCAGTGGGTCCCCATATATTTGCCCAGCCGAGTGAGATGGGACCCGCATTGTCCGCGTGCTTGTGCGGATCGGGCCGCCTCACGTTTCTGACAGCTAACCCGCTGCTCGGACTCTGGCCACCAACGAATCAGGCGCGACGGGGTTTTGCAGAGAAATGGAGGAGCATGAAAGGCGTGTTCCCAGCAATAATTGACCCGCAAGAGGGGGAAGTTTCGCAGGGAAATGTAATAGGTGTCGAATGTCGAGAAATTCCCGGCGTCGATAGGGGAAATTGTCCGGGGACGTGGTCCGAGCAAGGACCTTCTAGGTCAGGTGTTTTAGAGAACCAGTGCTCCTTCCTCGTCGCCTGGTTTCCAAAGTTCCAGGAAGACTTCGTCATGAAGGCAACTCTAATCTATGATCAGGTAGACGATGAAGCCGGCTAGACTGGTGGTCATGGTACGAAGAGCCCCAGGGCAAGGCAGAGTTAAGAATATATTTATCTTCTTGCAGCGGGATGCTGATTCGCTCCCGGAGGACAGTGATCGACTGGTACTTGGTGACGCACTGCTCCTGTGCAGACTGGAGTTGCTGCTTTAGCTGGGCAACCTCACCTTCCTGACATTGTTGCGAGTCCATTTCGGAGCTCGCGACTGTGCGCGTCAAGACAGCCACCTTGTGTGCGAGATCCTGCGTTCGTGCGATATAGGCAGAGCTTGCCTGGGTCACGAGTAGTGGGCAGGGCTCTTCGAATGCGTTCAAGCACTCTCTGAGTATGCAGCGGACTTGGCCGTAGTTGTTCACCGCCGTGAATGCAGCATCCTGGTCACCGGCAGGCGTTATTTCTTCCAAGAGCTTGTCAAACGTCGGGGCCTCATCATTCACCTTCGCCACGTGTAACTGAAATTTTGCCATAACTTGATCCATTGTGTCACGGATTCGATGCTTCGTTTGGGTCTCTTGTTGTTCGAGCTGTGCTTGGACATGTCGTCAAAATGGCTGAGGATGCTCGCTGAGATTACGAGGGAAGGTGGGTAGGATACCTAGGTACCTGGTCACCCGGGACGTGACTTACAAGCTGGAAGTTAGACGAGAGAGGGCCAATCAAACAACATAATCATGCCAAGATACCGCGGGTCTCCATCAGGCAAATACATGAACACAATAGAAAATGTAAATTCAGACTCAGCGAAGCTATGTGATTCGCAATGCGTCCGGGAGCAAAACCTCAGCTTCCCATGACCTAACGTCTTGGAGGTTCTCGACCTCCGAAATAGCGAAATTGCAGTCCTCCGCCCCGTCCACGCCCAGAGCTATTGCCCTGACCAGACCCACTGCCGTTTCTGCCGTCATTATACGGACCATCAAATGGGGAAAAGGTGCCATGATGGCGGCTGGTTTGATGCATGGGATCATTCTCATTGCCATTATTGGCACGACCATGACCAAAGGAATGTCTATGTGACCCTAAATAGTGGCCTGAACCGCCTCTTGCCGCGACCGGCATCAGGTTCGGGTTCGATAAGGGGTGAGGGTCATTTCTGTTGCCTCGCTCTCGACCCGTTCCGCCCAGCCTCCAGCCGCCACGGTAGGCGTGGTCTGAATGCTGCGTATGGTGTTTTGGCATGTTGGAGGCATAATTTGGAATGAATGGGGGACTCGTAAAGTCCCAATCATTCCCGGACATGTCAACCGGAGTGGTTATACCTAGCCCTGCTTGAGGATTGAGGATATGTGCCGTGCGACCCGTCGGTTGCAGAGCCGGCGTCTGGGCCGTGCTACCCTGCGCCTCTTGCAAAGCCGGCGTCTGGGCCGTGGCATCTTGTGCCTGTTGCAGAGCCGCCATCTGAATCGAGGTCCCGGTTTCGGCAAACGGGCGCAGGTTGCTGTCCAAGTGGCCGACGAGGTGAACGGCGGGAATATTCGAGCCTTGAGCCGGTGCATCCCAATGCGCCGTGCTGAGCACAAGAGGGTGATTCTCGAGCGCCTGCTTGATCATGCGATCTTTTTGATCAAGTAGGCACCGAGCATAGGACTTTGGGAAGGCCGATGCAGCGCGAGCCCCGTAGAAGAGCATGTAAGAACGGCCCGGCTGTCCCAAGTCCTCCGGAGTGGTTGCACGATACTTGCTCGACAATTGCGGGAGGACATCGGCTTGTAGAGCCGAGTAAAGCCGCACAAAGTCCAGATGTGAAGTTGCATCGTCATGCGTTCCACGAAGCCAGACCGCAGCGACCAGCGTATAGTGCTGGAAATTGGGCCAGTCGAAGTTTATCAAGTCTTTTTCTTGACGTGGGAAATCGCCGCGAGGATGGTATAGAGCACGGATGATGGATGGCGCGTACTTTTCTGCTGTTAGGTGATGTACAGTTCCATCTCTGAATAAATAATTCCGCCAGATCTTCGCCAAGCAGTCAACCAGATCTTCCTTGCCGGACCAGGTGACTAGACTGCGCGAAGCAAGGAAATGTGCGTTTGGAACCTCTTCAGGAGCCCAGCGTCCCGAGTCTGTTCTGAACTCGGGAGGGCCACAGAGCAGGTAGTTCTGCAAGCTCCAGAGAGTGTCCTGCAAAAAGTGCGACTCGCATATATCCGCAAAACTTGGGTCTTGAACGCCGATACGGGCTGCAATAGTCTCAACAACTTCTGATTTCAGTTCGGCAGACTGAGATTTATATCGTTCGTCTTCAATATCCTTCCATGCCAGCTCGAGGATCGGGTTGTCCGCAGTATTGACGTTACGACTCTCCGGCACAATACTGAAAAGGTGCCTCAGAACGATCAGGACAACATCCAGTCCGCGGCAACTCTTAGTCGTCTGCTTCTCGGTGCTTCTTGGCCCATGCCACAGCCGTGAGATCTGTGCGTCCGCCAGGTGAGGGGGTTGGGATCGTAGATCGGGCAGGGCCCGAACCTTGTTCGAGACGTCGTCGTTTGTCAAGGTCATTGGAGGAAACTTTTCGGGTACCTTTGAGACACAAATAGATTAAGGCTTGGAGGAAGAAGAAGAAGAGAAGGAAAAGAAAAGAAGGTGTCTAAGTTGGCAGCGGGGGGGAGTTGATGGATGTCGGGTGTTGTTTGCGAGGGCAGGAGCGGCGTGCGAGACCCACCGTCTCCTGCCTTCCTCCTCTCTTGAATATTTCAACCGGTTGCAACTTCTCCTCGGGGAAAAAATAAAGAGGCCTATTCATCAATGCTCATCCCTCATCTCCTGAAAAAAAAAAAACTGCTCCCCAAACGCTGCTGAATCCCCGCCACGTCAACAGAGAGCATTCAACTACCTCAGTCAACGGACCAAGAAGAATCAAGTCCTCCATCATTCCATATCATGGAACCGCAAACCCCCAGTCGAGCGCCCAAGGCAGAGGCTAAGAAAATTGCCAACATCATCCAAAAACGGGCCGGCTTTTCTTACATCAAATACACTGGCCCCTCTGTTTCCGGCAAGACTGCGGTCATTGCTTTCGAAGCTGCCGAGGAGTCCCTGAAGTTGGGCATCATGCCAATCTTTATTATGCAGTCCGAGTTGGAATTCATCTTCCTCGGCGACCTTTTCAAGCGCATAACTGGGGCGGCAGTAATGACGTGGGACTCCCTCCATCAGGACCCAAATCAAATGGCGCAACTTCTGGAGTGGATATCGCTCGGTGCTTCGTTGATTATCAAGTTCAACGGCCAACGGATCATCGCCTCCGACTTTGGACAAGCTCGCATTTGCGACTTGATTTCACGCCAGATCGCAAGAAAGAACGACTGGGGTTTCAACCTTGTCGTCATCGCCTCCTTCGAGATCCCGAGACACCACCCTCTTGGTAGAATGCCAGTGGAGTCGACAGAAATGGGCATGGACTGCGATTCTTCGATTGCAATCGAGAAGGGTCTTGTAATTCGCAAAGTCGACTGTTCGGGATTGGATTCCTGGAATAGGTACTTGGTCCAACTGATCACTCAGGTACAGGAAAGCGGAACTTCCAACGAGGGGGGCTCGACGACGATTATCTGCTTTGCCCCCCAAGTGGACATCCAAGTTGCCATTGAACACGCCGCAAGCCTCCGTTGGGCCGTGCATGAGCTACAAGATACTGCGAGCATAGGGGAGTTCCGGGATCTGAGCTTCGGCCAGTCCAAGCGGAACGCGCTCCTCTTTGTCGGTTGGTCGTCTCATCTAACAGATGGCAGCGTCAGGTTGCCGGGTCTCAAACACATCCTCATGGCCGATTCTCTACCGACAGTCGTGTTTGATCCCATCATGGGCGAGCCAATGGAGCGGAACCACCCACTCTCACGGCGGGAACTATACAATCAGGTGGCATTCGCACACAAGAGCACCACCCCAGGGGATGTCCAGCTTCATCACCGTTTCGATTTGGACGAGGCGCTCGATACCAGACCTTGGGACCCCCTTCCCGCAACAGAGAACGAACACGGTTTCGAGTGGCTGTACAACTGCGCGTACCAATGGCCAGACGTTTCAGACAAGCCAGTAGAGACTTGGCCAGTCGCTGACAAGGTGGCGATGGTCGGAATGGCGACGCAGCTCAAATGGATGCAGATTATCGAGGGGGGTGTCGAACAAGGCTACAGGTTGAAAGAAGGCTGGTCCGGAGACATCCAACACTTCCTGCGCGGTGGCTCAGTCGTCCCGGACGGGGTGACATTTAATGCCGCCGCCATGCTCGCCAACGTCTGTCATGCTTTCAAGGCGAAGAAAATTGACAAGCACGTGGCTAGGGTCGCCATTCGTCTGGCAGTCATCTCATCCCTTGGCTTTTATCGGGAGACCGAGAGCACAGCGAATATGGTACAGCACGACGGCACCAAAATGTTTTCCGATAGCCTCCGTCAACAGATGAGCAAGGCATTGCCCGGAGTCTCGAGTGTCCTCTTCGACCAGGGGGCGTTGTGGACGGTGCTTGGGCTATGGGAGATGTGTCGGATAAAGACGTTGAACTTCACGTCGGCCCGACATGCCAGCCTCACTGTCACAGCTCAAGCGGATTACCTCATAGATGAGTACCTTGAAATGAATGCGGCAGTAGCCGGAAGAGTCTGGGTCGTGGTTCAGCAGGTCGAAGCGCACTTGCGCATGGCGCCGATCGGGCTGGGAGACGGCCTGCCGGTGCTCGATCTTTCCGGAATCCAACAAGTCGAAGTGTTTATTGCACAGAGCTGGATACCGAACCTTCTTTACAGCAAGGTGGGCACTGACTGTCGGGATGCCGTCACCCTTGTTAGTAATCACTTGGTGACAACGGACCATTATTGCAACCTGGATTTGTTCCACAAGCTCCGCGCGGCCGGCAGAATCCCAGACGACGGCTTCTTCATCCTCTACCGGCATCTACAGTGGAATCATGTCGAAGGCGACACAGATTTTGTTTCAGCCGAGTGTTCGACAATCATTTCGGCAAAGGCTCTATGGGAGGCCGTGGGAGACAGGTCACTACACGACCTCCGATCAAAGTACCCCAATGTTTGGCCGGAACCCAGAGATTGATTGCGAATGTGAAATAGGCAAATAGCTTCAATACACGTATGTGCTTTCCAATAACGTGCGGGTTTGCCCTTGCGTTTGTGATGTACTGGGTCTTTCGAAGCAAAAGATCGCGTGTGGGTCAACAGTTCAGGGGTATTACAGACGAGAGATCTGGCCTCTGGTTGATCCTCCTTTTCCTTCTCAGCAGAAATATCTCCTTCGTTCCCTTCGTAGCCATACAAACATTCTTCCTTGCAACACATATAATGATACGCCCATCACCTCTTCAAAGCGATGGTGCTAAAGCCGATATCTTCACCACGGTAGCCACTTCGTAGTAAATGCTGTCTTCCGGCCTCCGAGGATGATATTATGACGACGGCAGCATCGTGATGCTCCCGGTCTTGGCACCGTGATGCCCTTACGACTGAGTTAATGGTCAGGTCAAGTCATGTGCGGGCCAGAAGGTCAGGTTTATGCGAGACAGCTCAAGGCGGAAGCCATTCCTTTGCTACGATCGGAAACGAGAAGGAACCATAAGATAGTCACGTCCAAGGTTGCCTGGCCTCGTCTGAATGGGGTCCAGTTTCCCTGGGAGATGATGCAGCAACCAATGGTGCCTGTCTGGCGGGTTGGGAAGGTGCGACCCTCCTTGGCTCCTCTGTCCTCGCTGCACTCTGCGGTCAACACTTTCTCGTTCCTCCAATTTGACCTTCTCTTACATGCCTACCTTAGCTTGCAAAAGGGAAAAAACTCGAGAAATCTTCATACCTTTTCATCCCCATCAAGAAATACGCAAATATTACGTTTCGATCCCCTAACTTACACGTTGAGACACAATGTCGCAATCAAGCATCCTCGCGCAGGAGTTTCCAAACACACGGGAGCGCGCCGAGTACATCAGTGCCAAGTTTGCCGGCCTCATTTAAGATGAGTCCCTGTTCTCCAAAATCCTAGAGAGGTCGCGTCAGATTTTCAAGGAGGATTTGCTTATGGGAAAGATCGACGAGGACGGGGTCTCTGAATACTGGTACAACTGGGTTGTGGACTTTGCGGTCTGGCGCAAGGCCATGGAGAAGGGTAAGATAGCGACACTTCATCTCGGCTTTCTTTTTCACTAACCGTCAGGCAGTCGAGCCGACCAAGCAAGAGAGCTTCCCTTGGAGACACAGCGTCCCTGCCTCGAAGCCCCGGGACCCCTCCGACGTGGCCGTTTGGTTCCCAAAGTTCAAGGCGGACTTCGCCGCGCTAGCGACGCTGTCCGCCTCTGAACGAATGGAGCGCGGGCTCGAGGCGATACCCGAGCAGCCCAGTCTTCAGCGGACCCAACCGAACATTGCTACGATTGAGCTCCGACAGGACATATGGGACGAGGTCTTTCCTGACGAGCCGTGTACCGAGGGACGACCCTTTGAAATCGGCGTGCCCAAGTACCTCGACTTTGAGCAACACGTGTGTGCGGACGACGCCAACCAGATAAAGTGGCTTCCATCCTGCGTGCGTATCGATATTGCCGATCGAGAGTGCCCAGAGGGCAACGTGATCAATGCGATTGTCGTCAGCCCTCAGGAAAATACCGAGGATACAGCATGGAGTAGACTTTTGCTGGGCGTGGTCTACAAGACTGTCGTCAGCTGGGCCCGCGAGGTGTTTTTGACTCGCAAGAGCACACCTCTGAGCGAAGCCCTCGCCGACATTGACGTCTCGTCGTTCTTCAAGAACGCCACACTTTCCCTCAGCGAGGAGATGCAGCGGCTGAGTCTCGAAAAGTCCCTGGTCGACGAGTGCAACGCCCAGCTGGCGTTGGCGCCCTACAAGAGCGACTCTGAGTATGTAGAGTTGCGTATCGCCGCGTGGCTTGAGGCCGAGAAGAGCCTCGTTGCCGAGAAGCGGTACGAGATACTGGTGGACTGGTGTGACAAAACACACGTCAACTTTGAGTCTCTCACCCAGGCCGACCAGCGCGTGGCGTGTTTTCGTGCTTGGGAAGGAAAGATCAAGGAGTGGGCTCAGGAGAACCCAATACGATTCGTGTCCTGGACGGAAGAGCAGAGTTTTGCTACTATGATGCTGGAGGAAACTGGACTGACATCTGTTTCATCCGTCAGAGAGATGAAGAGAGCTCGTTCGTCATCATTGGGGCGGACTGGAAACCCCACAAAGAAGACGCGGAGAGAACAAAGTATTACTTATGGACAGTGAGGTAGTGTATGATTATTGCTCGAGGACTTGGTTCGATTACATGACATTGCAATCAGAAATGTTTTCGGGTTCTGGGAGGCTGTTTCACATACACATGATGTTAGAGCAAAGTCGGAGTCAAAAATGGAAAAGTCTCGCCCCCTACCTGATGTCGGTTTCCCGTGGCACTTGTAGTACCAAGATGCCTTCCACAGGGTATCTAGGATTGTTGTTGAAGTCTTTGCTTCCTCAGTTGACGCGTGTCCTTGGGAAGTCGATCGTCGGTATTGGTCTTCGTCGATGGAGAAATCATGGCAAACGAGTGTTCATTGACCTAGTTATCATGATAGAATACGTCAGCACCGGTCTGGCAATGATCACACGGGACATTTCGCGAGAAACCATACGTCTGTACTGTGCATTCGCTTGAGCCAAAGTAGGCTTCAGGGGCCTGCCACGGTCCTGGACTGATACTTGAAGCACTAGAATCATGACAAATTCAGAATATTAGGAGACACAGGAGAGAAAATTGACCGATGTAAATGTTTCGTTTTGCTGAGAATACTGTGGGAACCTAGATAATGTCATGAAGGAAGCGTTGAAAACAACACCCTAGGGCGACTGTGTTCTACTAGGAGAAATTTTCAACCCGGCCGTGTCAAGACGATATGAGGCAACCAGGCAGCCAGTCGTACGTCAGCCTACATTCAACAAGATCTGATCTCGCGAGAAACCTAGTAAGGCAGATTAATTGGGCTGTGCCATACTTTGCCGGCGTGGTTCGTGTCGCGGGTTTCTAAATGTAACCTCGAACCAACCAACGGGCAACCGGCCGCATAAGGGAGACCGTTTCTTTGAACGCAGAAGGAGTCATGACCCGAAAACTCCCAATGAAAACACCTGCCTATTTCCTCATTAAGAGATTGACAGCGCTTAATTATTCCAGCTTGACGCGGACGAGACGGGTAACCTCCAACGGCACTAGTGCGCTGCCACCATGGCTACGAGGAACCCCTCCCCCCATGAGAGTTTCCAAGTCTACTGGTATTTATTCAGCTTCGATTTTAACATGAAATTTGATGACATGATTTTGGGATCTGACCCGCTGTGTGGTCATGTTCAGGACGCTGGGCCGCACGCTTGCGCTACGTCGAGAGCAGCGCAACTGCACCGATAATTCATCTCTGCCAAACCCGTTCGCGAAGGATATACTGCTGACCTTTACATCCAAGATAACAGGTAATCTGGTAAAGGGATCAGAATTGCACGTCCAAGTCACTTTGCGGCCGGGACATTGGTCCCGCGCTCCCCGTTGTTGACCAGGTCGGAATGGGAGGTCCTCGCAAGGTGTGCCGGACACGGCAGCCATGCATCAAGCGGTTGGATGAGGCGGACTAGCTTTCCCCCCAGATTTCCATTTCTTTTGTTTTCCATTGGGTTCTAAACGACGGTGTGATGCTCCAGAGGTTGACCACGGGGGCCAAATGAAGAAAGGGGGGGTTTCGGCTTTCTGCACTTCAGTTCCCAGTGGCGGTTGTCAACGTAACTCACGCGAAGGAGGAGCGGGACAGGCATAGAACACCTCGAATTCCCCCTTTAATTTGCATAATGTGATGCCGAAGGCTTTCACTTACCTGAACAACTGTGTCCAAATACTTGATCTATTTCCCGACCGCGTTCACGTCCATAGTCTCCAGCGGGTCCCCTTATCCTTCGTTGGCACCCGGCCTCCTGAGTAAGAGTCGAAGAGTCGGCCTCTTCACTGAGAAATTAAATCTTCTCTTTGCTTCTTTTACTCAAAACTCATGAAGCCCCACCCATCATATCCTCGCTCAAGATTCGAGGTGATAGTGGCAGAAGCAATGCGAACGTCAGTGTGTACGCGAAACCCCATGGTAGTGACCGCACCTCCAGGGTCAGTAGTAACCATACGAATCTCCATTTTATATGGAGATTCTGTCATGTTTGTGTATCTAATTCGTGTGGTGACTCTGGCAACAGACGACGGAACCGTCAGTCATGGCCGGGCAGACCCATCTGGTACTACCCCATAAGAGGCGGAAAACTCTTGCTCACCCCAGCATTTGAACAAGGCGACAAAATGCAACCGCTACTAGTCTCGAGAGTATTCATTTCATGCAATTAATAAGATGAGTGCCTCCCCTAATCCTTGTGGAGGGTGGGTCGGTTTCCCCCTCGGGGCCAGACCGGGTCAGCTACCCGAAGGCCAACCTAGGCCTGGGCAAGAAGACTTTGCAATATTGACCTGTAGGAATGGCTCAACGCATGGACGTTGTCATGTTTTTGGTTTCAAATCTTGCAGATTTTGGCGAGTCTTCTGCCCTGTCTCGCGCGTTCTCTTCTCGTCCACCACATGCAGACTCGATAGCCACGTTACCCTATCTTCCCACACAGAATCTCAAAGCTAAGTCAGCTATCCCAATCTTGTCTCAAAAGGGGGGAAAAAAGGGATTGAATATCATATTATCTAGAGTATTGACGTGCTGCCAAGCTTGCTCGTCATCTCCTCAATCGATGTACTGACCAGGGATAAGGTAGGTCAGGAGGGTTAGACTTGTCATCTGGGCACAGGAAGGAGATTCCAGTTGCTGGAGAAATGGGCAGTGACACTAGCCCTGCGGAAGGTGGCGTTTTGAAAACTTCTATTCTAATCTACGATAAATCCTCCATACCTACACAGTAAAGAAGAGCAAACTGGGAATCCGATCCCAAGAACTCCATCGCTGCCATTACAACCCGAGCTCCGTTTCCCTATCCTCCTAACCAATTTGAAGACTTACTTTTCCACCCCATTTTTGACCAAAATCCCATGAAAAGCCAATCCTCTAATATCGTACGTTTTTGCCAGTGAATCTGCTTCCAGCAGCGCCGTGCTCGACATTGTTGTCAGAACCAAGAATGACTTAGTTCGAGGGGCTGCGGGAGCAGGCCGACGAACTGCATTCGAAATTCTGATAGATGTTGCCATAGTTTGGACCATGAAGAACGATCCCGCCGTGATGGACGGATCGGGCTCGAAGGTCGCCTTCGGGAGTGCGTTCGGGAGTGCGTTCGGGAGTGCGTTCGGGAGTGCCCTCGGCATCGGCACTATCATCGCTTTCGACGGAAGGCATAGGGTTCTCCTCAGCCGTTCTTCCATTTTTGCAGTCGTCACAGGAGTCTTTGTGCTTTCGAAAGTGATGATAGGTGCAAATTGTGTATCTTCCGCATGGCATCCGCACTGCCCGTCCGTGATTGTCGTTGATATGCCGAAAAAGGTCGCAGCCTGCGCTGGGCTGCCAGTCGCATTTGTCCTTGGGGCAGTCTTTGGGGCTCTGGAGAGTCATTTTTGGCTTAGAAAGCAGTTGGTAGACGTGGAGGAGTAAAAGAGTACTTCAGAGCGGACCGATATGGGCAGTGTGAGGATGCTGAGCGTCAATGAAAGAATTTCAACTAACTTCAGACGAAGGGGTCTGCTCATTTATATACATAGTTTTCTACGCCCGCAAGAAGACCGAGCTCAGACCTAGTCTGAATTCAAAGTGGGATCTGGTTGCTGTGGAGAGTCGTTGTTCGAATACGCAATGACAAGGTCCCCGGCCAGCATCGCCCCGGCCAGCATCGCGCGAAGTCACCATGCTGCGACTAAGGATTCAGTTTTCTTTTTTATCCTACACTGTCCCACATCGTCCTCCTAACGATTCTTTCCCTGCTCAAAGCGGAAATTGCAGACACTACTATGTCGTGTGGGCGTGGTTGTCTGCCGGGACCCCTGCGCTTCCAAGATCTCTGCGTTCGTAGGTGTTGGTGAATCATGTTCGCACGAAGAGGTCATACTTGTAAACACGGCTTGACGTGAACAAGAGCGTAATTGAAAAGAAGCCAGAACCGCCAGATCATGATGGGATCGAAACAGGAGATGTGAACTCGCAAAGAATGGTCTGGAATCTATCGGAAAGCTTCGTGCTCGCGAGGGCATTGCCACAGGATGAGCAGAATCGCCCAGTCCTATCAGGTTGTTGGATAGGTACTATGATAGGAGCCGGGGGGGTTCTCAACCATACGCCGTGCCATAGTTCGCCGGATGCGCGGCACCATTCAACCTTTGTCAACTCGCATTTGGTGGTCTCCTGCGATACTGGCATGCGGCAGGTAGTGATTCCTGATGCGGTGCCCGCTGTCGAGCCCGAATTGCAGTTCCTGCGTCGCAGGATCGGCTCCCTCACTCATTTCGATTGGCTCGGAGGCGACGCGGCATGGAGAGGCCCCTGCCTTTTTGATTTTCTGAAAATTGATTTGTGGGAGGGAAGTCATCCTGCAGCTAACATGGGTGCGGCCGCGAATGCGAGCTCATTCCATTGCTTTCTAGGCAACGGTGCCGCAGCGCAAATGTGGACTCTCTGCTCCTTGGCCTTCCAGGTTGTCATGTGTGCGGTAGCTGGGATGGAAATGACCGTAAATCCGTCGTTCAGGATAGTTGTCGTCGTTCACAGGTGGGTTGACCTCACGGCAGAGAAAGAAAAACCGCCAAACGGCTTCCAAATCCTCCAAGGATACGGAGTAGGTGTTCTCCGTCCCAACCCTGGCAAACGGACTCCCTCATCCGTCACCAACGGCGAGGCAGCTGATCCGATCAGTCGGGGGGTGTTCATAAAGTGGAAACTCAACGCTTACCTGGGCCTCTTCTTCTTCTTTACTCTGTAAACCAACCAAAGATGTGACGGTCTCAGCACCTTTTAGTGTGGGGCTTCCTTGTCTAGGATCAGGCTTAGTTAGCTCGTGGGCAGCTATTGACACACCATCCGAACGACCCGGATCCGGTGGCATCGCTACCGAACGGGGCCCCTCACCCTTATGAACGACTAAGTGTCTGCGGCGAATGAAGCGAGCTTAATTGAACCTCATCCCATTTATATCGCGCACGCTGCCGTTGTCACCAGAACACATGCGGTTTACTGTGGGGAAGGCATCGCCAAATCGGGAGTTATGTCTAGTTGGTTGGGGACTGCACATCACTTTCGGGTGACGGTCAGGAGGCTGACTAGACTGTTTGGAGGCAGCCGGCAGACGCAAAGAAACGTGTGGACATGGAAGAATGCATCACACTGCGTTTTACAGTACAGCTTTACGTGGTTGGATGTTTCTGTCTAAGGTGGTGGTTTCAGGTACAAAAGGTGAATTAGAGAATGCGGATCTGTGGGATCTGACGGAACTATTTCGCATGTGGAGCATGTCTCTCACGCCGACTACTCTGCTGAAGATACTGCCCAAGGTACCTTCTCCTGATATTCCCAGCACGTCGACATACCTTAGCCACATATAATAGTAGAAATGATGGACTCGACAGCGTCTCGAGGGTAGGAAGCTACAATTTCTTCGAAAATGCGTCCATCAGACCTCCACTTCGGCGGGGTGAAGGGATGGTTAACGTACTGCCTCTGCATGCCAGCGGTAGCCCCCCAAGAGCCCCTTCAACAGCGGCCATGACCAAGATAGGAGGTCAAGCAGAGGTAATAGTGCCCAGGTTCAACCCTCTACGCATCTTCTAGACCATGGTTTATTCTGTATCATGCGTGGTCCACCCGGTATAACAGGGGGGGATGGATGCGACTGCGACGCATCTGATTACTACGGGCGGGCTCAACGCTATTGCCGTAGCGATCGGGTAGCGCCCCAACGTGTTTGGGTTTCTCGCGGGTGATGATCTCCTGTAGGAAAGCAGCGGCGAAACAGGAGGAAATTTTGGTCTTTGGGATCAATATGTGGCGGCAGAATGGGTGAGGGCAACATTGCTCATTTGGGGAGACCCCCTTTGTTGGATAAACCCTGTCAGAGCTCAGGACCACCGAGGGGATGGAATGGCACACCCTATGTGACATCGCATGCTGCCACTATCGTCACTCACTCGGACTCATCTGTCGGTCCTACAGTAATCATCATTCCCTATCTTATCTACCGTTGCAGAAGCGAGAGGACACAGAGCTGTCGACGACTACTTCAAAGTGCTCCCTGTATGAACTATGTATCGTTGACAACAACTTGAGTGTTGAACCCATCCAAATTCCAGTTCTAGTCTCTATCACCGGGACCTCGCTGAACCCTCGAGTAACTAGAGTGACATATGATGAATACCACCAACTTTACCGCTTCTGAGGCCGTCTTGACTGCGGTGTCTGCCTTTTTACTTCCAGGTGGGTGTTTCCGTTTCGGCTTCGGCTGCATACGTGTTGTCGAGTGATTTGGATGTAACAAGGAGTATCAGCTAATTCAGGACTCTGGCCTTGGGCTTCGGACCGATGCTCACTGCGAGACTTTTATCTCATTCGTCGGAAGCGTACTAGAGCTCGGCTATGACATCGGAGGATGTGATAACTGTGCTCCTCTGCTCCTGTGTCGAGGAATGGTAGTAGATAGGCCGTAGGCAGAACATCAGCACCATCGGTCCAGTACAGCTGTATGTGCTCGACTGATACAACGGAGATAATTACTGTGGAAAGCGTCTCTATCACACGAATCTAAGCGGCAGCAATAGGAACAATATTCCGGGTGCCTACTCATCTGAATCTCGTGTGTTGGTACAAAAAAATCCTCGAATGAATCCTCGAGCCATCAAATGGATCTTCTACCGCGTCATTGGGACCCGGGATACGCGTAAACTGCCACCTGATAGAGGTACTCCCAATTAGTGTGTTAAGAATACATAAATTTTATGTGGCTCGTAAACTCCCGGCACTCTTCACACGTGTCCGAATGAGCTGTTCACGGATGCCAATGGCTTGCGCTACCACGATAACACAACTACACATTCACGCCATTCATTGAGATGGTCTTCCGGTTTTATGCACGAGATACGCCAGCGTGTGTCGATCACTATTTTCTGGGACAACACCTGTCTGCTCGAGATATGTGTCACATTCGCCATGTCAGGTCGAAAAACGGCTGCCGCCCTTGGTCTCGAGGCATCCAATGAAGCGACAGCTTTACTAACCGCTTTCATTATAGATACAGAGAAAAAAAGAGCTACCAAGACTATGGAGTAGTTGCTGTTCAAGATGGATGACCGAGTGCGACACTTGACTGAGAATTTGGAGCTTCGTTCCTTGGCATCGAAAAAGTTCTTGGTCATTGAGACACTTGCTACCCGGCTCAACAGGGAGCTGATAGTATGTCAGATCGAATCGGTCTGCTACCATTCCGAGGTCGGAGACTTGACCATAGCGGCCTTAGCCGCAGAGCAATTCTCACGGTCTCACTTCGAAGACCGAGAGGCCCAGCTGCTAAAGCCAGGCGTTGAGCCGACAAGGAAACAAATTCCAGCGATGATACGTCTCGGCCGCATTCACAAGATGCTGCACTTCCACAGTGCAGAGACCGCGCGGAGACCTCGAAGTATGAAAAAGACCAGAGAGATAAAAGAGAGATCGATCAATGTCACCAGGCACTGAGCGCCCCGCACCTCGCTCGCAATGCCCATATAAATTCGGTGCGCCTAATTGCATCGGCTTCGAGACCATGTCCGTGTAGACGTTGCGAATCCGATAGAGCGGCTTCCGTGCTATATCCGCAACGATGCCGTCAATTGTGAGTGCCCAGAAGATTGGTCAACGCTCTCATATTCATCCTGAAAGATGAGAGCGAGAATGCCCGTACTGCCACCCGCTTCAAGAGTACTAGGCTATTGCATCATCAGTGGCGCCTTTCAGCTCGAGTTCGGCTGTTCCCTTCGGCAGTATTCGAAGATACCTAATAAACAGGTCTGTTCGTTCCGAAGATCATAGTCTAAAGCTATTGACTCTGGAATCCGAGGTCTCGGTCGTTGCAAATCGTAAGTGGATACCTGTCGCATCAATCATCGTCAACCTAAAGCATCACAGTTTTGATTTGGGAGATAGACTGAGTGGCAGACTGCTTGAGGCATCGCTGCAGGCTCGAAGACTTGATCAGATGAAGCCGCAATTTCTTTCTGGTCATCGGTACGTCGCAAGAGTAAAGAATGCGTTTTCTTTGTGGGGTATCGTAATGTACAGAATGCGGGTTGTCGTTTAATCCAGGCGAGCGGCTGCAGCACATAATTATATATCCGAATGCGTTGGTCGCCTTACGTCGCTTATTCACACCCACATCCTCCACGTGGCTTGGATCCAGGCGGCCGCCAGCCATTCCCAATGGAGCCATTCACCGATGTAATACAAAGACCCTCCTAATAACACTGACGTTCAATCTGTGTCGTCAAAAAATGGTTGCTTTGATGGACAAGGCAACCTAGATGATTCATGCTAGTGGAGACTTGTAGCGCCGGGATGCTGTGGGGAGATCTGCACCGCATTAACGATTGGCGCTTCGGTACCAGCGTCGGTTAGCAATGGGACCCACGGATACTTCGTCCCAAGTGATTGGACCATCCGAGGTGAAATCATCCAAATCATCGCCTGGACTATTACCCCGTTAAAACAACATCATCGCTGGAAATGCTCAGGAATACTCACAATTCGCCTGGATACGCGTAAATCGTGTCCAGCATCGGGTCTAGGAATGGTGTGGAGATGTTGTTATCGTAGGAAGTATCTCGCGTGCCGTTATCAGTAGCTTGATGGTAGAGGTCGTTAGGGGTGACACAACCCGATTGCTCGTTCTGGGCTGGGATTCTGTTGGCTGTGGTGGCTGTGGTGACTTGTCGCACATTCTGAACCTGACTAAGACGTTTGGAACGACGGGGCTTAGTCATCTGAAATTTCCCCGCATCAGCGTCAGGCACTCGGAGACACGCAAGACATCTTTGCTCGTGCCGTCTAATGTTGCAAGAATGACTGCGCAGAGGCTTTCCGCAACGCATTTTGACTAGTGGACCGTGCACAGCTCTCACATGCCGGCTTAGGTTGGCTTTTGTTGGAAAGGGCTTAGAGGTGCAGCCAAGTGTCACGCATTGGAAGAACTCGCAGTTGGCAGCGGCCATCAACGGCGATTCCTCTACCGTAGCCATTGCGAAGTCAATCATTCGAGGCATAAATTCTCCTTGACTCATTGTGATACTCGGATAATGCTGACGGTTGGGGGTTTTCCTCCGCCGGAAAAAAACAAGGACTCGGTAATAGGTGGTCGTAGAGACAAAGATCGAATTGGCGGATAGGAGGGAGATGCAAAGGCCACGATTGGCCAGTGAAAGTCCAACAATATATGAGAATAAAAATTGAATAGGGTGCAGTGAGGAAAATGTGAGGCGCTGCAGAATTCGTTCTTCAATCACCTGCGAAATCGGCATATGATGCCCGGAATTTGCCTCTGGCCACAAAGTTATCATCATTAGCTTTTGGTGGGGGAAGCTGGCTGATATATGAAATATGGAATGAAATGGTGTGTCCATGATTTCTGGTGCAAGAGAACATGCGGACTGCGGTACCCGTGGTTGCCTTACTCGGCATGAGGCTCAATTTGGTGCGCGGACCTGTGGCGAAATCAGTAAACATCTTTCAGGGTCAAACTTCTGCCCCCCTGGATTGAACGCCAAATGTCTCGTCAAGCGCATGCGTCACCGTTTACCTGATCCGATTGTGCACGAAAAAAACTTGGACACTTGCTAGTTCAAGCAGATTCCATGAGAGTTTAGCCTCGCAGAATTAAAGCCTGAAGGATTCTCATAGGTCAACGAAGGGGTGGACGTCTCATGTCGGGAGCATCACGGAAGTTGGAACATCTGTACGACTGGACAGCTTGCTGCCATCTTGTCGAACCGAGATATGGAAATTGATCCGGCCAGCAACACAGCCGCCGAATGGAACATGGAAATCTATAACGTGAACGTCTTCAACATCATTCACCTGGCAAAATGTGTATGCCAATCCGCCTACTGCGGCCTGTCGTAGTGTCATGGCCTGCAAAAGGGACCCAGCGGTCGGCGTTTGTAGCTGTCATCAGTTAACGACTTCGGACGGGTCTTGCGAGCATTTTTTTCCTCAGGACCATGTCACTACGATGCCGCCATGCAAGTCATGAAATTTTGTGTACGTCGAAGAGGCGCTCCAGCCGTCAACATCACTTCACAGTGTACACTTGATTATCGCGCTGTGTCCAAGATGGTCTCATGAACAGACTCTGATTACGATCTGGGATCGCGGCAATCGGAGATGGCATTGGAAGAGCCTTATGGGAAAACAGAAGCCAATTTTACTGCGTTGGTAAGGAACCGCTGGCGACTTCGAGGAAAGGCTGTGCGAGGAACGCAGCGCGAGCTTTTTTGCAAAGGTTGCCTGACTGCTGGCAAGCTAAATGATGGTGTTTTTCAGTCTTCGCAAAATCTCTGCTTCATTCTAATTGTCTTCATCACCAGGTGTTGGTTCCCGCGCCGCGGGGAAGCCCCTTGAGAGTTTATAGGCCCAGAAGAGATACATCACGCAGAAGATCTTTGTCATCCTCCTCCTCCTCCTCCTCCCCCTCCCCCTCCTCCTCCTCTCAGCCTCCTCGCTCTGTATTGGCCCCTCCCCCCCCTCTCTCATGTCTATGCGACCTTCATGGGCTGCATGCGACGCAACAGGCCCCACCGCCAATTTTTGAGCCTCCTGGTTGCCTTGGGCAGTGGTTCGCAAATGGTCCGCCAATTTTTGAGCCTCCTGGTTGCCTTGGGCAGTGGTTCGCAAATGGTCCGCCAAATTGCTATGAATGATTTTTCAGGGTCTCGGTGTCACCCCCTTCACAATTCTGGCACCGACTCATGTTGTTCGTGCTCGGTGTAAGATGTGCGCTTTTTCTTTTTTCTGCCGGGTGTCAAGGAGCTGTGCTGAGTGGCCTGCCGCCTCGTGGATGCCTGTTTCCACAGATCAATGCAGGTCCTTATATCCAAGCACTCATCTCCGTATCCTTTCTCGTCATATTCACCATGACGTCCATCTCCAGCAATTTTGCCATTCAAATCGTTCCAACTTCGTCATTCAAGGCACAATGGCAGACTGATGCAAACACCGTACTTGCTGGTCTATCTCATCCTAATCATTTCTAAAAGTCTCTAACCCTTTGCATCAGTCGTAGACGAGCTGATGTTGCTAGTCACGAGGATCCTATCCCCACGGCCCCCGACCGACTCCAAGATCAAATTTTGAAAGTCAAATCATAATTCAAGGTCAGGTACAACAAGGGCGTATAAGAAGAGAGGAATATATTATCAAAGGATCCATGGAAATCAAAATAAAGGGATTCGCTCAACGGGAGGAAGGTTACTGTAAGATTTGCGACTATGTGATGGATTGAGGAAGACCACGTAACCACAACGACATGCGGATCGCGAATTGCCATCATAGCCAGACAATCAACGAAAAGGTGGGTGACGACTCTAATTGCGAGCACCAAGGAAAGGATGCAAGACCACGATAAGATTTCTGCGGGACGAAGAGGACAACATGGGGACCCGTCAGAGAGGGATGCACTAGATACGACTCGGTCGACACTCTTGGCATGAAGTATACGCCTGCTATTCGTTACACCAACTCCTCCAGAATCCGCGGCGCAAGAATCTTGATAGAACTTCAACTGATGATATATGGTCTCGCGGTAATGACGGAGGATCTCGCTGGTGTCGCGACCTGGACTCCTACAATGTCGCGTCAGCCATACGAATTTTCAAAAGGCTTTTCTCATCACGCCAAGTTCATTGCCTCAAATTCAAAAGAGACGCTCGAAAAAGCTGTGACGGTCGCAGCTGATACGTTGCATTGTGTTAGGACCTCTAACATTAGCCGTATCGTAACCTGCCTTCTCAACACCATTCTCGTCTGGTTCCCGACCTTGCCAAAACAACCACCACAAATAGGACGCCCTCGAAAATTGATCACATGACCTGGAGCGATATAAGCTTATTCGAAAACTTGGCGGGTCTCCAAAACAAAGCGTCCTCACTCGCCTTCAAGGATCGAATGCAGGCGCTGACTGGTGACTTTTAGCAAGAGACTTGATTGTAGACCGTTAAGCTGTGGCACCCGTAGCAGCATCGATCGCATGCTTCTCCCGGATGGCAGCTTTCAAGAACCCCTCAGCATATTTAGCACCCTCGGGCTCATACAGCGTAAACGCGAGAAGTAGCTGAGTACCCCACTTGAAATCAATCTTGGTGAACTCCGGGATGTACTTGGTGGAGACGCGTTGAACAGCCCACTGGATTCTCTTTCGATCGGCTTCGCCGCTGTGAAGGTCGTTGCGGGTGTTTCCAATCACCGCCCTCTCTAACTCGTTCGTAGAGTTCTGCATGTCGAGGCCACGGCGGAGGTTGTCATCGGAGACGAAATTCTCTTCAAAAAGGCTCGTCTTGGCATAGTGAGGAGTCACGTTCTCGGGAATATTGAACGTAACGTTCTTGGCGATGTTCTGCAGGTTGCGGGTTCTGATGTCTTCCCAGATGGATGTACATTTGCCGTCCTGGCCATAGGCGAGGTTCGGAGCATTGTCGGAGTGCAGCTGTGAGGCCTTATGGTGCGCCAGGGCCTTGCTCATACTCAGCGACAAGGGGTAGGCTTGCTTCCTCGCAAAACTCTCGTTCTGGTCGACAAAACCCAAAGCGAGAATGAAGATGTCAATGTTTGTGCGGATTTGGGCCAAACCTCGACGATTCACGACCAGCAACTGGAAATACTCATCCAAAGAAGGCGCCTCACCTCTCTGGGCTCGCGACTGACAACACTGATCATATGTGTGGGTGGTTGTTGAGCACTTGGGACAGCCGTATAAGTCACCGCGGTCCTTGAGCGGGCCTGCGCAAAACGCCAAGATGTGGTCGGTTCTGTTGCAGTTCTCGCAGCGATCGACCACGGGATTCATCTGCAGCTCGTACATCTTGTTCTTCTTTTGCTCATCCTTGAGCTGATTCTCGATCTGCTGCTGCTGCTCGGTGTGCTTCTGTTGGGTCTGTTGGAGCTAGAGTTGCAGCTGCTGGAACTGCTGTTGCTGCTGCTGCATCATCTGGACCATTTGCTGTTGGAGCTGATCAATCTGCCCCTGCTGGCCCTGCAGTGGCTGCATCGCGGGCTGCTGCTGCTGTTGCTGCATCGTGGGCTGCTGCTCGTCCACGATCATGGCCCCACTGTTGGGAACGAGGGGCGCTTGCTGTCGTACGTAAGAGGGACCACGCAGCGGGACCTTTCTCCTCGAACCCATGAGCTTGAGGGAAAGAGGACGCTCGTCAAATACGAGCATGGTACACTCACTTTCGGGGTTCTCCATCTTCCGACCATAAGTGTAGCCATGGGCGGTGGCGTTCGTGCCGACATGGATCTGGAAGGGGTCCCCGGTGGTTGGCATCCGCTGCTGCGCGGTAAGACCCTGCTTTTCGTATTCCAAAGACTTTTGATACTTCTCTGGGACTGTCATTTCCAAGCGACCATTCTTCATCGTGGCACCGATATCCGTGTAGATGGTCTTGCGGATGGGACCGCCTTTGCGGATGCCCCCAGCGCTGCTCAACTGTATGTTGGGGCCGAGCGGGTTGTGGCCTTGGCGGTCTCTGGGGTTGGCAAAGGGATTGCCACTGTCATTTCCAGAAGCCCGATTGCTGGCAGCTTCGGCCTGCCGAGTACCGAGAAGATGCTCATTACCGGGCGCGTGGATGATATCGCCCATGGCGTTGAATGGTCTTGCGCCCGGGGCGGCGTAACCCACGGGCACGAGGCTCTCGTTCTCGGCCTTGACGGTCTCCTTGCCCTTGGGCGCGGTAGACTTGTCGCCCTCGGGAGCGTTGTTGTTGGGATTGCCACCAGTCATCTTGGTTATGATGAGAGGTGGACGAGGAGGAGAATGAATTTTGGTAATGAAGAAGAAAAGCGGAATAAGTGTTGTTGTTTTATGAAACTGCGAGAACCTTGGCCTTTTTCTTGTCGCGCTTCTGCTTGGAAGCGTTGTGTGTGTCGAGGTCGAGATCTGTGGCAGACTAAGGGTGAGAAAAGAAAAAAGGTAGGGAGGCCAGAGGCAGGTGGGTGGAAGGAGGACGACAGCGCAAGGACCTAAGGAAGTTGTCGCCAAAGGCGAGGAAGGTATGACCTACCTTAGTTTTTGAGGGAAGCCGACTTCCTTCCCAATTCCCTTTTTTTTTTTTTTTTTTTTTGCTTTTGCCCCCGGGGCGGGGGGGGGGGGGGGGGGTGTTGGTGGAGGAAGGAGAGGAGAGGAGGAGGGGTGGGGGGGGGGGGGGGGAGGGGGGAGTGAGCACAAGGTGTGTTTTTTTTTTTTTTTTTGTGGCAGGGGGGCGAAACGGGTGGGGGGGGGGTTGTATTTTTGGGTCGCACCTGTTTTTTTTTTTTTTTTTTAAAGAAAGTGATGCCGTCTACTTGAGTTCCCTAGGTAGGTAGGTAGACAAGCGAATGGAAGCAAGGCACACTATGGAGTTGGCTGACGAGTGCACAAAGGGCGCGTCCGTAGCAAGCCCGGTAAACTGGGTCAGAGATACCTCATGTCTCCGACCCGGAAGCTTGGGTCCTAGCGGTACCGTAATGATCCTCCAGCGGCAGTCGTCGCTATGACCCAGCCAGTCTCCGCCGCTCCGGCCGTTAAAACGTGTTCCACCTGCCTGATCGGCAACGTTAACATGCATGGATACCCCTGTGGTGCAACCAATCCCCAACTTTTTTATTACGTCATTGTTCCTTGGGAGGCAGCCGCATGTGACTGACGAGGATCGTCGTTCTGGTCCTGCTTTTTTCTTCTATAAATTTGTTTTCTCCACCAGATCATGTTTAAGGGGTTGGTTCATCTTAACGTCACTACCTTAGACTGCATGCGTATTCTGTCACGAAATGTGGCCTAGTATCAGGACAGACGAAGTTGTCTGTCACGTGCTTTCTCATGTGTCCCTTACTTTCACGCAGTATCTAGCTAGACTTGACCATTTTGCTTTCGATTAATACAAGCCACTTTCTACTTACTTCACATGCCCATTGCTGTGTGCTCTAACTCGTGACATATTCTTCACTATGTCAAAGGTGATGTTCATGGCGATGCTCGACCATGCTACAATTCTTCTGAGCATATTCTTATCGAAGATGTCCAGCATGTGAGGTAGGAACCACCCATGAGATCGTAAGGGCACCTCCCCAATGGTTGCATCCTTCCAGGTTTCCTGTACTCGTGCGCCATCTTGGAAGCTATGTGAATACCTTGGATGACGGTCCTCCGGTCCCTGTGGTCCACTTCAAAGTCACTGGACAATAAGGCCAGGCCGCTCCATTAATACCGGGGAAAGAGAGTTCGAAGCCAAGACCGCTCGGCCATCAACCTATCTCCCAATGCAAGAAAAGCAAAATGACCCCTTGTATAACGCTTGTATTCTTGTCGGTCATCAGGTTGAATGAGAAGGACAGCGTGTCCGTTGATTGACTCCTGTTGTCATCCTGGCCTGGTCCTTTTGCCGACAGCGGGTCATTCATTAATTCAAGCGTCTATCCACAGACATCAAAGAGGGCTCAGTTCTTGTTTAATTTACCATTGAGTGGCAGTTCCACAATGGGTCTCCTCGGATGCGGTCATGGTGTTGTATTTGTTCAGTTTGGAGCCCGCCGAGAAGGCGAGCAAAAAGGGTAGATGCCCGGAAGATTTGGTGACAGTGACTGGCCACGTGGGGAGGGAAGTTGTGAGGTCTTCTTCCAGTCTCAATTATCTTAGGTACTGTCAGTGAGATCACAAAGAGGGAATGCTCCCGCCTTTATTCCGTCCTCATCCTACCTCCCATCGTCAGCCTCATCCTCATCCTCCCCCGAGTTATTTCTCCAGAACACAACCTGCCAAACTACAACGGCAACGCCAGGCTGGTCCGTTGATGCCACAGATAGAAATTCCCACTGCTAGCACATTAGAATAGTCCCTTGGATATTAATTTGATTATAAAGCTATTCGCTACTCCTGAACAGCAGTGTCAAGAAAAGGGGCGGGGTATAAGTCAAAAGCATCTAAAATGTCCCAAACGCCGAACAACAAATGTGCCGAACATGCCTGGGCGATGGGGTTTCTGGTCTGGATTCTCTCCACCCGCATGAAAAACAAAGGATACACCGTGCAGACGATAGCCTCCAAAACTCCTAAACCTGGGCCGAACTCGCGCGATCAACGCCGGGCCGACGATGTGCGTCCTCCCCCCCAACTGTGCCATTGGCATGGGCTCCGTCTTTAGACCCAGAACTAACCTCTGCCTTGTGTGGTGTCTCAGATCTGTCGTTGGGGATAGCTTTGTCTCTCGCATCGGCGCGATCTGCCGCCTCGGCTCGTGCTTCCCCTTCCTCATTCTCCGCGATATCATCTCTCCTTTTAGATGAGTTCCTGTCCGAGCCTTCCGCATTTTCCTGATCCTCAGCAGACTTGCGCGCCCGCGCGGTGTCGGTCGACCGTCTTGTATCGACACTATGCCTCGCCGCAGGACTCTTGAGCTTCTCGTCCGCCTTGCGAAGCTCCTTTTCCGTGCCGACGACGGTGCTCATATCCTCGCCCCTCTTGATCGCCTGGAGGGTGCGGTCGGCAATGTCGACACTCTCAAAGGCGGCGTGGTTGACGCGCTGCTTCTGATGCGAGAACACCCTCTTGATGCCTTGTTTCTTCTCAGCCTCGAGAGTCTCGAGGAGTTCGCGGATCGTGTACCAGCCGGTAATGACGTCCTTGTCAACTTGCTTCTTGGATTCGCTGGGCTGTTGCCGCCTCTCGCGTTGACCCTGTACGAGGCGAGCTCGACGGACAACGCGATCGGGCTGCTTCTTCCGTTCGACTTGCTTGGCAATGCCCTTGAGAGTGTAGCCAAAAGGACTGATAATGGCGCTGAGATCCTTGAGCACGAAGCCCGTGAGACCCATGCCTGTCCCTTTGACAAAACCCTTGACTCCCTCCTTCTTGGCGCCCCTGACTGGCAAGCGAACGAGGCCGGTCGTGCCGTCGTAGATGCCGTATGCGAATTCCTTGCCGGCCGCCTTGAGTCCGGAGCTAATGCCAGTGACACGTGGAGGACGTCGGACAGTATCGTCACCGTATAGTCGAGGTGCGTTGTGGAATCCTTGGGCGATGGCCATAGACAGGTCTACCGGCGCCCTCGCCAAGGCTTGCGCCGATTTGCCCACGCCCTCGCTGACTTCGTTGGCGTAGTCTCCGACGGCGTCGTCAACGGTGGTTCCGGTGTCGACTGACGACATTGTGTCGCGCCGTTCCTGCGCACCTGGTCTTGCAGAAGAAGAATTGCCATTTGCTTGTGGTCGCTCTTCCTGGCCCTGCTTCTTGCTGTCTCCCTCCTTTGCTTTATGATCGTCTCCCTCCTGCGGTTGAAGAGCAGGACTGGTCTCGCCGTTGGCCGGGTTCTTCCGTTCCTTGGCAGTCGTCCGCTTATCTCGGAGGGCCCTCAACTTCCTCTTCTTGTCCTTCTTCTCCTTTCGCTTGTGTGACGTCTTGGCAAGTCTGTATGGAACACTCCCAATCCCACCAAAAACATTGCCCATCGTACCGGCGAGCGAGCCCGCGATACCAGTCACAGGCTCTCCAGGGCCCTCAAAGTCGTTCCACTCAGTGTGCCGCAACAGCCTGAGCCTCTTCCACGAAAGCTGTCCTTCCTCGACAATTATGTCCGCGGCGAGCGCGCTGAGCTTGACATTGGTGTTCTTCAGAGTCCAGACAGCTGGGCGGTCCCGCAGGATGGAGCAGCGCATCGAGTTTATACCTCCCAGCGTCAGGTGGTGGTGGAACGACCGCACAGCGTTCTTGGCGCCGTCACCTTCTAGTTCAATGTTTTTGGCGACTTTGGCGGCCGCTTCTTTCGCCTCGTCCGTAAGGCAGTACTTGATACCCTCGGCGAGCTTCTCGACGTCTAATTGCTTGTAGGGCACGGCCTCGGGCCCGGCTTTGCTAGTTGCTAGGATGCTTCCCCAGAAATGCTGATCGCCAAAGAAGGGTACAATCATGGTGGGCAGACCGCACTTGAGAGCGATGGCGGTGGTTCCAGCTCCGCCGTGAATGACACAGGCTTTCACTCGAGGGAACAGCCAGTCGTGGGGCGTGTTCTCTAGCATGAAGATGTTGTCGGGGACGTCCATCTCGTCACCTCCCAGGCCGCCCCAACCCTTGGACACCAGCGCGCGGACTCCGGCGAGTTGCACGGCTTCGAAAATCATCTGAGTGAAACGGTCCGCATCATCAACGACGATGGAGCCAAAACCAATGTAAATGGGCGGTTCGCCAGCATCCAAAAATTTCTCCAAATCACTGGGCGGGTCAAACGTCGAAGCCAGGTCGAGGAAGACGAACCCGGAGACGTCGATTTCTTCACCCCAATCCTGGGGCTTGGGGACGAGACCTGGACTCCAGAGGTAGGTGAAGGGCACGTGAAGGCGGTAAGTCGCGCCGGGGGCCCAAAGTGTCGAGACAGCGTCCAGCCCGAGGGTCTTGACACGGAAGTCATTGACCAAATCGCCCAGCCCCTGCCAGACCATCATCTCGACCAGGGGATATGAGATGAAGTTGGTGTACCCGGGATCCACGTTCGACTTCTTGATGCTGGCCAGGGGATGAGGGAAAGCCTGCGTTGGGGTGTAGGGGAACGTAAACATGAGATGTAATGGGATGCCAAGAGCTTCGGCGCAGTGGACGTGGGCAAAGCTAGGAGGGTTGGCAATGATGGCGTCGGCGATGAAGGGATCCTTCTCCCCCATCATCTTGAGGTTGTGGACGTCCTTCTCGTCGTCAGTGGCGTTGATGCAAGCTCTCCAGAAACCGTCAAACATCTCCGCCATGGCCGATCGTCGCCGTCCAATGTCTCCGGCCTTGACGGCGTCCAATGTCGGAATCATGCCTGGGTTCTTGACCATGAAAGCCATCAACTCTGAGGGGTCACCGCCGACCGAAAAGAATTCCAAACCAGAGTCCTTCTCGATAAATTCGCGGAAGGCGGGGTGCGTTGCGATACGCACGCGGTGGCCGTAATCCTCCTTTAGAATCTTGCCAATTTTGAGGAACGGCTGGGCGTCACCGCGGGAACCAATGACCATGATGACGATGTTCAAGCGCGGCTTCGGTTCGCGATCGGCGGTAGCCGTGGTCGCGGAGGAGAGGCGAGACATGGGCGGTCGCTGCCCATCCTCCCCCTGCTCCTCACCTTCGGGCACCGGCACCACTTTCTTGACAGCGTGGCCCAAGGCCTTGGCCAAGTAGCCGGTGTTGGCCGTTTCCTTGACCGAGATACGCAGACGACCGTCCTTCTTCACCTTGCCCTTGGTGTTGTAATTGTCGTTGCCTACGTGGAATCGGCGGTAGCTCTCAGCAATCTCTTTTTGCCGTCTCGCGTTGGCCCCGTCGTTTGCCGCCTTCTTTTCGGCCGGGGTCCTGGTAGCTTCAGCATCGTCATCGGAGGATTCGCTGGAGCTCGAATTTCCTCTGTCGGCCTCCAGAAGGGCTCTGTCGAGGTATGATGTTCCGGATCGCTTGGGGACGTTACGCTTTGCCGCGCTGCTCGAGCCGGCCTTGCGGCCAGGCGCCTCAGTCCTCCACTTCTTGTCGATGGGAGGGCGTTCCTGGTGGTTCGACGTGCCGGACACCTCGAGATGGTCAGGGGCAGTCGGTTCCGACGATGTCTTCGTGGCCCTCTCATCTTTCGGTGGTAATTCGGGAACTGTAGGTGCCGTCGTTGACTGCGGCGATCGAGCATTCGGCGAATCAATCTCAGGCGGTACATAGGACGGGTAGACAATGTTCCTGTTCTCATCTCGTACCACACCAATGTGTCGTCCATCGCGGTCTATCTCGTCAATGTGAAGCTGCTCGGGAGGAGGGGTCGCCGTTGCTTCGGATTCAGTCGCCGTGCCCAAGGCCAGCTGTGCCGCGGCGGTTGCGTGCGCCATGATGGCGTCGGATTGGTGTGCCGTGTCTGCTCCGGAATTGAGTTTCGTCTATGACGGTGGTGCGGAGGGGAGTTGGGTTATGGGAGCTGGGCTCGTGGGTGAGAATATTTGTTTAGATCAGGGCTGGCATCCCAATGTGGACATGGGAGATACGTTTGAAATTAGCGTGGCTAGAGAGGTCTTAGGGCGCGAAGATAGTCTGGGTTTGGAAGTCGCGTCACTCGTCCTTGGCTGGTTGTCACGTAGAGGTTGACATCCGGAACGACGAGGGGACGGAGGGCCTCGACCTTGGCAAGCTAAGGAGGCGACGGAAACATAAAAACACCCGACATGGTCCGGTCTGTTTGGCTCCGGGAATAATACCAGAGGATCTGTCCGACGCAAGGTTTCACGCGAAAAGCAAGCTTGTGAGAGAGGAGGAGTAGGAGGGCGCCTGCGCACTGGACCGACTAGTCTGGCTTTGCTGTTTCCAAAGCATCTGAGCTGGAAATTCCAACCCCCTGGTCCGATGACATCACTTCCCGAGGGCGATAGCCCGTTGTCCGCAAGGGTGCGCCCCTGCCGGTGAGGTAGCTCCTGGTCTGTGCGACGGGATGACATTGGCTGGGCCGGGCTGGCCCGTGCCAAAGGCAATCTGCGAATGGTCGTCCGGAGACTCTCCCCCGGGACCCGTCTTCCACTCCGGTTTTTTTCTGGCAACTAACGTTACCTCGTTGACAACACATGCTCTCTCGTCAATCAATCACGCTGCGATCCACGGTAAGACATGGAAACTCGGGTACAAAATGACGGAAGAGATGCAAATCCCCAACCGAGATTGAGTGGTGAGACTGGTTTAGGATTGCCAGCTGTTTCCCACACGAAGCCTAATTGGGCTCGAGCCCCTTGGGCATTGCGCCCTTCAAACAGGCACATTTGGACGTCCGGATCTGGGCAAGAGATGCTAGCGCCACACTTGTGCTTCGGATGTACTGCTTCTTGTCCAATGAATCGAGCATCTACCGAGATCAATGGTGCACAGCCACGAGTCACTCGCCACAGTCCACGTCTACCTGACGGCAATTCGCAGCGTCCCAATCACCAGAGCGTCGAATTTGACCGTGGTTCGTCAGAGCAGGCGTTTAGAACCATGCGGCTTTCGGGGGGGAGTGACGGGTTTCTAGACAGTTCCCTTCCGCACTGACGCTGTCGTCTCCGTATGCCATTTGAGCATCGCGTGGATCCGCAGACGATGAGACGACACGCGTGATAGTCCACAGCGAGATGGCATTTTGATGTGTTTGACTAATGGTCTTTCGGGATTCACCGCGGCCCAGCCCTAGAAGTTGAGTTTCTGACGGGGAGACGCCCAAAAAAAAAAAAAACCTCCACCACGCCAATCTAGCAGCACGTTGAGAAGAAATTTGTTTTAAATTCATACAGCTGCTCGTTGCTCAGCAGCCAAGGTAATTCGTAACTCATAAGAGCCTCCGCCATGAACCTACTCCCGGAAATGCAAAACCCATACCACAGAGCATCTCGGCTTACCCGCGCCGGGGCTACCCATGATATCCAGTGACCAATGTACAACAGCTTTTTACTGCAGAGGCAGGCTCTTTAGCCGCATAGTCAAAATGTCGAGCTGCGTCTTAACCTCCTCTCCCTGACCCTGGTCGTCTACTTCCTTCTTCTCGAGGGCCGTCTGCAAGGTCTTGACGGCGTGCAGCAGGGGGTCGACGTAGCGCTGCTCCACGGCGCCGGGCATACTGGCTGGCACCAAGTGCTGGAAGCTGGTGCCGGCAAAGAGGAAGTAGGCAAAGTTGGCGACCTGCAGGTGGAAGGGGAAGTTCTGCACCCAGTATTCCCAGATTTCGGGAACGGACTGCTCCTTGAGGAATGCCATGTTGGGGAACAGGACGTACTGAAGCATCTCGACTGCGTCCGTCGTCGCGAAACGGTTTGTGAGCTTGCGTTTTTGAGCCACAATCAACTCCTCTCGTAGCCACGTCACTGCAGAAGCCTGCAGTGCGGAAAATATGCAGTTCTCGAGAAGATCCTCCAAAATCTTGAGCCGGTCACTGTCGTCGGGGTCGTCGTGCAGGACGAGGCCTGCGAGGGTTGTGGAAACGTTCCGGACTGAGAGTGACGGATGAAATACGGACACGAGTGTTAGGAGATGGTGGTAGGGCATGAAGTCGCCGTCTGATGGCGAGATGCGCTTGTAGTTCTCCAGCCACAGTCCCATCACGATGAGAGCTTCGGTGGTGCCTGGGTTGCCCACGATGCGCGACTGCGGGTCTTCACCAAAGAAGTTTTGGAGAAGCTTGACGTGATCGGGGAACATGGTCATCTGGACCTGTTCGTAGTCCGCGTCAAACACCTCTGCCGAAAAGAGCCAGTATGCAACCAGGCACCAGACACCTCCGGTGGACAGCTTGATGTCGTCGGGGCTGAGGTCATCAGTCTCGACCGCCAGCGGGCTGTTGGGGATGGAGCCCTCAAAGATATCCCTGACGGAAAGGGCATGCACTCTGTTTAAGCCGAGATCTCCTGCAAGTGCCTGAGTTAGTTGTTAGCAAGTTCGTCCGTCCGAGCAACATCAGACGAATGTACATACGACTAATTGGCCAACCAGAGCGTCCCTCGCCAAAAGGTCGGTGTCCTCCTTAAAGGCACGCAACACGCTCTTGCGGATCACGACACGCTCCGGGTTGTAGAATTCCAGCAGACGAGAGGCCCATTCCATGCCCGTACAGTTGACGTAGGCCTCGATGATGCAGGTGATGAAGGACTGGAGCAGTCTCTTGGTCGTGTCCGGGTCTCTGGGCGCCAGCTGCTCCTTGTGCGCGGCCTCGGGATCGGGTGCGTGTTTTGTGGGATCGCTCTTCGTGAAGGGAGTGTCAAGCTTATTGCTGGACTGACGGGTAGGGAGCGGCGGGCGCTTGTCGCCAGAAAGGGAGCGGACGAGGGCAATGACTGCAGCCGTCATTTCGGGATTGCGGGGATGGTAGGTGCGGTAGACACTCTGCAGGGTCGTGTGAACGAAACGGGAGGGGCGCGCCACATTCAACCGCTTGTGCAGGATGCTCAACATGCCAACCAGGTGAACGAATGTCGCCGTCGTCGCAGGATCGTCTTCCTCATCGGTAGCCTCGTCGATGGTCTTTTCCAAAACCTCAAGGACCTTGAGAATGACCTCGCGTGGGTTGCCCAGCTGGGCGATGGTCTCTAGGCACTGCTCGCTCCCTTGAATGGGCACGAGCATCTCGACCAAGTCCCATCCGATGTCCTGGGTGAGCTGGGCATCTTGGAGGATTTCGTTGAGATCAGGCAGGATCTCGGGGGAAAGGACCTCGCCGATGATGGTCAGGTAGGTGAAGGTGTCTGTAGCGGGCGGTTTGGACTCGCGTAGAGCCTGGAGGCCGCTGGGCTTGTCGGCCATGGCAAGGGGAGGATTCGTCGCTTCAATCATGGTGTTCAGCTACTCGAGGCTCCTCTATGGCATTGGAGGGGATGGTCGATGGTCGTTGAAGAAGTCTGAGCGGATGGGGACTTGACAAACGGCAGAAGGGGCAGACGAGGTGAAGAAAAGAAGAAAGGAGACTGGGCGTGGTCTCGTTTCGTCATCGGAGCTTTCAGCAGTGAAGGCGTGAGAGGAGGAACCACCTGGGCAGGGTTCCAACTCCAATTTCTCTCCACCAGGCAATATAATTAGCACCTCACCAGCAGCTCACCACTCCACGAAAGGGGGGCAAGAATAAGGCGGGCGATAGCAGCAATGACAGGCCCAGAAATGCCAGCCGTGGGCGCAGCAGCAACCCCGCACTAGCCCTGATTCAGAGAGGATCCCGCTGGAACACTTTACAGGTCAGGTCCCCCACTGGAATCTGGAGGTCCCGCCAGGTCTGAAGCCTGAGGCTGGCCCCGCCCCTAGGTCGTTGGGGCAGACGTGTCAGTGGCCAGAGGCAGTGAAACCCGGTGCCATCGGGTGCCAGACCAGGCTGGTTCCAGCCCACAACACTGGCCGGGGCCAGGCCTTGGCGGTGAAGTGGCCTGCGACGAGACGGGAGGCTGAGATCTGAGAAATTCTGAGGGACTGCGGGAGAGCAAGTCGGGGATGGAAGATCGGCTCGTGTTTGATTTATGCTTGACGATGAAAGCATCCGAACAGAGGGCGAAACTGGACAGTCCCCATCCCTTTAATCTGCGGGAACGGGACTGGACCCTGAAGAACCTGAAGGACAGGACAGGACCGGGAAGTCGGCAGTCTGAGTCTCGAGGAACCACTGCACCCGCCATGCCGCCCACCTCTTATCGGTCCCACGCCGCCATCCCTCTCATTACTTGTTATCGATAGAGAAAGTGGGGTCGGGCAACCTGATAGCGGGACACGCTTCGATAAGACACCTTGGTGACTAGGTAGTGAAGCAATACTGGTACCATAGGTAAGGTACCTTGATGGAAGTACCCCTCGATCACCGCTTCCCAGTCTCGTGTGTCTGTCTTCTCCCTTGCCTATGAACCTCGCTTGGGGCATCGTACAAACGCAAGGCCTTACCGGTGTAAAGAGGACAACCTCAAAGAGACAAATGAACAATCGTTCGTGGGCTGATTCATCACGGAAGCCATCCGGCGCCATCTGCCTGCTGCCACACGCCATCTCCAACAAGCACCGTGGCACCCCGCACCGGCTCCCTGACCACCACCACCACATCACCACTAACGAGCGAGCGGACGGGTACTCCAAGGTTTCGTCCATCAGAGTAACAAGTCCTGTACATCCTGCCTGGCCAAACGCTCACAACTCGAAATGTACCCTTGTGTCCCCTCCTTCCCGTTCTGATCAGGTGCACTCCTCCCCGCCCGCCTACCCAACGCCCTACCTGACCTTGCTCTGACCGACAGTTACCGACTGCAGCCTCAGCGGACTGGCGGGCTACAGCCGAACTCAAGTCAACGTCGTGCCGTCTCATCCCGTAACCTCACTCGCTCTTTTGCAGGGCAAGCAGTCTTTTATTTCCTCACCTTCCGCCATGTCCTCTCACAGAATATCGGTGCCCGCGAGCAACATGGATAGGTTCTGTCAGCTCCCCGCGGAACTCCGTGCAGCAGTCGTTGAGAATGTCGTCGATCACTGGCGCTACGGCGATGAGTCCGACTCACTCGCTGACTACGCCTTGGTCTGCAAGGAGTGGCAGGCCATCGTCGAGCGTTTCAACTTTTCCGTCTTGAAAGTCACCCTGGCTAACCTGGACGACTTTGAGTCCTCCATGGTCGGCTCTCGTCGCCGTCTCGTCAAGCAGATTAATCTTCACGTTGAGCTGCCCACCTACGACAATGATCCCTGCGAAAAGAAGGAGACCTGGGAGGACAAGGCCGAGAATAACGCCTTCTTCACTCTGGCCTTTTACCGTCTGTTTGACATCATGAGTTCCTGGACACCCGAGGACTCGTACCGCGGAGGCGTCGATTTCACACTAAGCATCTCCTCACCCAGCGACCTCCGCAACGCCAACTTTGAGCTTTGGCAGCGGCGTAGGTGGAATATCAAAGACATTGGCGAAAAGCGGTTTGCAGACTCCTGGATAGACTTTGTTGGCCAGGACGAGGAATTTGACCGGGTCAACCGCCTGCCCGAGGTCAAGGTGATAAGATCATTCACCGTGAGCCCTCAGAACCACCGCGCACTGATGCCCGCCGCGCACGCCGACATCATCGCCAGGCTTCCCGGATTGCGGGAGGCATGCTTCGACATCACCAAGGACCGAAAGAAGGAGACCCGTAAAATCCACTTCAACCGTGCGTCGTGACCTCGTCGCCCTTTTGGGACCCTCACTAACACTGGCCAGAATTCGCCGGCTCCATGACAAAGTGGCCCACCTCACTCGAGTCGCTCACAATAGCGTCCAACACGATATCATCGTGGCGCCAGATCCCGCACGAGACACTCGCTGAAGGCGACAGCGGTACTAAGCTCTGTGAGAAGCTTCGCCGAGCCGCTCAGCACCTCACGCACCTCAACATCACCAACGTCGTCCGGATCCGGGAATTCCTACGCCCTCACTGGCCCATGGGTACGGAAGACACCGAGCCGTTCCTGGCGAACCGCTCATACTACCCAGAGTTCTGGCACCTTGAGACTCTGCACATCTCTTATGGATCCATCTGGTACAACACCGAGTGGCACAAGCAGAGCGATAACATCAACGAGTCCTCTGAGCTAGTTGACTTCCGCCAGAACGTGTCCCTCGCTGCCGCCCGGCTGGCGCACACGATGCCCAAGCTGAAGCACCTGACCATCAAGCAGCGGCCTCTAATGTGGGCCGGCAAGCATGAGCTCGAGTACAAGGTCGAGGACGGCGATAAGGCGAAGCTGACCTGGACGAGCACGTTCGACTTCAAGCCGTGGGAGCGAACCGTGGAGGCGTGGGCCGAGGTGGCGGCCCGGCATGAGAGGAAGCTCGAATCTCGCATCACGACGGGGGCTTGGCATACTGACGGCAAAGCGCCCCTTCTTCCGTCTCTCACTTTTTGAAGACTCTTCTCGGATTTCGAGGAAATCAGAACGTGCACATTTTGTTTGGTTTCTAAGGGCGGAGTTTTTGGCGTGCGGGACAATTTTTGACATTTCTCCTCGGCACTCCTTTCATTACACTTGGTTCATGATACCCAGGGTCCGGAACCGCTCTTCACGGCGTCAAGCATATCGGGGGGGCAAAGGGAGGGGCATGCGGTAGTATTAGTAGACACAAACCAGGGCGAGGCTAGCGGGGCCATGTGGAAGCAATACCACAGCGACGTTATTCCCAGCAGGTAGATACATTGAATGGACGGACGTCACACGATTCAAACAGCCCAGGACTGTCTTCTTTCGTGATGGGTTCCCCCGGCTTGTGACATGCTTCAGGATGAGATGGTTCTGCTACACGTGCTGGGGCCAGCAGCAGTCCAGTGCTGACACCGCCTCGGTGGCTGGATCGACTTGCATGACGTCCAGTGAGTGTGGTAGTTGTTGTTGTACATGATGGCGATGATTGGTTGATGATAATTTGAGTCTGGGAATGAGGTGCATGATTTGCAATGTTTTTGGGAAGACGGTGAAGGCATGATAGCTTCAAATGCTGACAGCAGCTCTGTAGTCACCAGCTTACAAATTACAGTAAGCAGTCATTGAGGTTATTTGAATCATCTTGTTGATGCTGGAAAGAGACTGAATTCCCCTGTTTCCCCAACGCCGTGTGCCAGACGCCATTCCCATAACCAAGATATAAGAATCTTATACATACACATCTGCAGTGAAACGTGTCTTTGAACCATTATTCCGAATGGCATATTTTACTCCTCGTCATCCAGGTCTAGCTCAATCTTGGGACCCGGCCCCCAGCTGTACCTCTTGCGCGTTCTCAGCATCCAGCTCCAGTGGCTCCAGGGGTCCTCCGCGAGCTTCGACATCTCAACGACGTCCCCGTGGCCCTCCCACAGCGTGGTGAGCCCGTACTCGACCGCCATGCGCGCGTACTTTGTCGCCAGCCACGGCTCGCCGATGCCGTTGTATTCGATGGCGGTCAGGGTGTAGGCCTCCGTGAGCAGGCTCCAATTGTGCTCCTGCTCGTAGAGCGAAATGAGCAACTCGGCCATCTGCGGTGTAGCGCGGGAGGCCGGGGTGTAGTCGTTGAACTCCTCGCGCAACGAGGCAATCTGCTCGATGCGGCGGTCCGACTCGTCCGTCTTGAGGCGGTGCTGCATGCAGTGGTGGCAGGAGCAGTGGAAGCCCCAGGTGGAGTGCAGGCGCTCGCGGCGGGCGGCGCGGGTCTGCATGGGGTCAATGTAGGAGAGGGTGAGCTCCTCGCCCGGGATGATGTCGCGAATGGCTACGGTGCGCTGGGTGAGGGTGCGCGGGTCGAACCAGTAGTCAACGTTGGGGCGGCAGTCGTGGTTCATGCGGGACGCTGCGTGCTGTGTTAGCCGTGTTTCTCTGAAACATTCCTGGTAGTACACTGGGTGGACTCACTGTTCACAAAGACGGCGTAAAAGTCGTCGTCGCGCATCGCGTCGTCCATCTCGACGTCAAACGAGTTGGTCACGAGAATCTTGTCGACCATGGAGAGGTGGTCGCCATGGTACCCGTGGCTGGACATATTGAGCCACTGGCTGCGGTGCTTGAACTGGAGGGAATCGACGGCGTGCGCCTGCATCTTCTTCATCTCGTCGACGGGAATGTGGCCGAAAGCAGCATAGTCAATGAGCAGGCTCGCCGTCTCGCGCAGGATGATTTCGCCGCGCTTGATGGGCAGCGTGGCCACCAGACCATAGTCCTTGCCGGGCACCTTGGCGACCTCGAACTTGGGCAAGGGCTGGTTCGTGCCCTCGAGCTCCTCGGGCTTGGTGAAGCCCCAGCTGCGGGTGATGTGGGCGGCGCGGTCGACGTCAGTGATGATGGAGATGCCCTTGCCGCCGTAGTTGCCGGCGTGGTAGACGCAGAACTCGGGGGCCTCGGTGCCGTTCCTGAAGCAGGGCGAGGTGTGCGTCCAGATGGAGTCTGACGACGGGGCCGAATGTGCGGACGAGGTGCCCGCCGCGAAGGGGAACTGGTCCCCGCGGCCGCCCAGGAGATCGACGCCGCCATCCTTGTTGCGGCAAATGGGGTTGCTGGAGGAGGCGGCGAGGAGCTGGGAGGAGATGCAGATCTCGCCGGAGCTCGAGGAGATGACTTTGGACTCGCGGAAAGCAAGGGTGAGGCCCGCGCCCAGGAACAAAAGTGAGGGCTTCATGATTGAAGGATATGTGTGCATTAAGAAGAGAAGTTCTCAGGCCGTGATCTACACAACACGCGAGTGAAGGTGAAGGAATAAAAGGATGAACAGCAAGAACAGGAAAAGAATGGGAACCGAAGAAGGGCAGTTGAACACGCTACTTTCGTCCCATTGATCTACAGCAATCCGAATACCCGCGCAACTCGAGGGAGCGGAAGTGGGACGAATAGTTATTAAGTATCCGCACCTCAACACGGCACATAAGCAAAACCTGTGCAAGCTGGAAAAGCAACCCTGGGCGCTTCGACTTTTGGAAGCATGCGCGGGACGGGGTTCGAGCTCGGCGCTGGGCGCTGGCTGGACCAGCGTTTGGGATGCTCGCGGGGGAGCCACGGGATTGGAGCATGGAGGGAACAACAGACGGGATGGCGATGGGTTGGAACTTGGTGATGCGCGGGTGCGGGTAGGCGTGACAAGGTCCGCGAGCTTCGTCGAGCCCGTATCCCTGCCTTGTGCTCCGGATGTTTGCGTGAGTGGTCGATTGTGTTGGAACTTTGAACCGACATTGAAGCTGTCCACGGGTTGTTCTGTCTGTCAGTTTTTTTTTTTTTGTCCCGGTCTCTTCTAAGCCTCCCTCCCCCCAATCATCCATGGTCCATGGCGACCCCAGGATGGAGAGAAACAAGACTTTTGACGAGTGTAACCCTCGGTAACTTTAGTAAGGTTATCTTGTAACGAGGAAGGGTTAAACGACTCATGGTGCGAAAGGAACCAACCCCTGTAGCCCCTTCCCGCGGCCCAATTGGACATTGGCGTTGTTTGATCATTGTTGCGCTGCTCGTTGGGAAAAAGGGGGTGCGGATGGGATGTGCTGGGGTGCAGTGCTACGATTGTTTCCTGCGTCAAGATCCTCGTTGATGGGCGTTCGAGGGGGTTGTGCGCTCGTGTCAGATGTGTTGCAGGACGCTGGAGTGAGTTCTCGAGTCCCCCCGTCCCTAGTATGGTAACTGGGTGGAGTGCGGAGCGAGTGGTGGGCGGGGAAAAGGGGTGGCGTTGCAGACACAACGGGGCCGGGTTTGGACGTCAGACAAAACAAGTGACACACGCTGATCAACGGGAGAGCCTTAGCCCTGGCCACTAACAACCTAAGCAGGAAAGAGACTAACAAAACCCCTTGGCCATCCATACCCAGCAAACTGCCTTCTCATGCATGGTGGTTGTGGAGGTGGACTGTTCCCAAACCAATTCTGTGGGAGGATGTCAGGCACCCGTGAAGGGAGACAAAAAGAATAACAACAGAGTTAGCCAAGAGTGGATTAGAGTTAAAATTTAGGTGCGGTGCAGGAGGTGGCCCTCGGTTGTCCAGCTGGTGGGTATCGCTGGGATCGACTTGCCTTTCTCCGCCTCAGTCGAGCCAACGAGCCCGTGGTGGGGACGGCTCACTTCTGTGACTGCCCTGCTGGGGACATGTGCAGACGGAACGCAGTCTGGCGGCTTGGTGACGGTTGACCAAGAAAAGCTGTTACCGCTAATGTCGAGGAAACTTGCGGCAACGCGGAGCCACCTGCGCCCACTGTGGCGGCTAAAACGTAGGTACACAGCACAATTCCCGAACCGCGCAGGCTATCCGGCAACACGCTCGCTGTGCGAGGCAGACGAAAGGACACAAATCACATCGCAGCGGCACGCGAGCGGACGGGGCGTCGACGACCTTGTATAGTGGAGAAGGGAAGAATTCAGACTCCAACCCGCTGGTTCCGTGAGACCAATGTTTTGGGTGGTGTTGAGTGTCGTGTTTGGAAGGGGCGAGCCGAAACGAGAGCCGGATCCCAGCTTCGTCAAGTCTCCGGCCACGGCCACCACTGAGACCCACACCGACCGCGACCCCGGCGACAAGTGGGGACCTTGTTCGGAGCTCCGGAACTAACAAATTACTTCGCTCGACAGTCAACACCAACACCTTTAAAGTGCATCTGCGCACTGCATTATTTGTATCGAGCGAGATCACTCCGTGAAATCCGTCTCCAAGTGCCCGCCCCGTCTCCTAAACTGATCCGCAACACTCTTCATTTCCACAGCCGGGAACCGTGGTGCCTTCCGCCACGGGAGGAAATCGCTGTTTCGACCATCAACCGCAGCACCACCCTTTCCACCCGCCTCCTCACCTCCTGATACTCTGCAACTTCGGCCAAATTGTGAAGCTCCCCCGGGTCTCCGCTGCGGTCGTATAGCCCCGCCGGCTGATACAGCCTGTACACAAAGCTCCATTCTTTATCGCGGCACGACACGCTCTTGCCCACAATTGTCGTGTCCTCGTGCTGTAAAGCCGCCTTGATGTCGCGGGGGAACAGCCACTACTCGAGCAGCGGCTCCTCGCTCGTCAGGAACCCGCCCTCGAGGAAGGCAAACTCCTTGTGCTTCTTGACGCCGCCCGACTCAGCATCCCGTCCTTCCAAAGTCAAAATATCTGCGAGCGAGACGCCGCAGTGCGGGGAATACTCCCCGACGCCTGCAAACGGGAACAGTGTCGGCACGAGGCCCCCTATCTCAGCCATCTCATCATACACAGCGCCTCACGGCAGGCCGCAGCCGCCGAGAGTGAGCGGCTTGTGGGTGAGCGAGTCCGAGAGCCCTGACGGCCACTTCTCAATCATGCCGTGGTCGCCGAGGTACTCGACGTGGTCGGTGAACAAGGGCGTCACGGTCGAGTGCCAGTGCCCCCAGCGCCCTTGTCCGCTCAACCACGTGCCTGAACTGGTCGTTGAAGAGGGAGATTACGCTGTAGTAGGTCTCCATCACCTCGGCCCAGATCTTGGGCGTGGCGCGGTGGGCACCGTATCGCTCGCGGCTGAGCTGCATGTAGCGGGGCTCGTAGCCGGTCTGCTGTGGTTGTTAGCTAAGGTATCCTTGTGTAGTGTCCTCGCACGGCGTCCACGAGTGCTTACTTTGTCTTGCGGACTCGTAGGCTTGCCCATATGACTGCGGCCGTACATGGAAAAGTACGGCTTCTCTACCTGAATGGGCAGTGCGGAAAGAAATCAACGTAATCCTTCGACACATTGGGGTTCCTCAGCCCCTTGTAGAACAGCCTCTTCTAAATATCCTTTTTTGTCCTCTGGGTCCGCCCTGTTCCTGCCGGCGAACCGCGGCGCGAATGCGGGCGTCTTGAGGAAGCCGTACTCATTGAGCGACGGCTTGGTCACCGTTGATGCGAACCTGTCGCCGTGCGACGCCTGGCACGCGACGTGGTACCCGCCCTTCATTTTGAGAGGACGGAACAGGTTGGGCTCCACGGCTTGATGAGGTCCTTGAGGGAACGGCGACCCGAGACGTGCGGCTAGTTGTCTGTGAACATGCTGCAGCGGGAATGCGTGCAGGCTAAGGTTGGATATCTTGACGGCTGTTATGCGGAGAGCGCTCTGATTAGGAGTATGGATAGGTGAAATACAAGAAGGGCTGACCTCGTTCCCATTACAGCCTAGTGAGTCGTAGCGGAGATGATCCAGCATGAAGATGGTGAAGTTGGCCTTGTCCACCTAGACCGCTGGGCTTTGCGGGCTGCTCGTATGAAGGGGGTATTTCCGAAGAGGGCGCCATAATGAGATTGACGCACGAATGTACACTGGGGATTGATGACGTTGTCGAAATGCAAGACCGAGGACAGGAGAGTCTGCTCTAGATATAAACCACATCAAAAAAAGGAGGCTTCTCGCCGCTCCCGTGAGAACACCATGGAAAGCCCACTCATTGTCTCAATCGCAAACCCTCACTGGTCGGGGTGAGGTTCGACACGGCGATGTGCGTCGCCCAACCGCTGCGATTACCCGGGGAGATCCGGCGGAGAGAGGAGAGATATTTTATGGTCCTTCCCCAGTGTGAGCCGGGCCGGGCCAGTTCCGCGTCCCTCTTGGAGCATGAGTCGGGGAGTTGATCGTCGCAAATCCATCGTGTGTCAATCATGGCCCGGACGTTTTCTCAACATGGTTTACAATACAGGTCGTCGATCAAGGACGTTTCTTCGTGGTTTGCCGCGCCCGAGGTACCACGCCGCAGGAGCGGCTACTGGCCCAATGACATTAAACATTGACGTCGGACCTCCGGTAAATATAGCCAATGCGGGGTGGCTGCAACGTAGAGTGGCACACGGACTCAAAGATCGACGGTCCCGGGGTAGCACGGTGATTCCAGGGGCCATGGTCATCATTTGCTTTGAATTGTTTATAGGACAGAAGGAAATTATACAGCATTAGAATATACAAATATTCTACAACCCGGCATTCGCCTTCACCACACGGTGATTCCTGGTTTCGTTCACACCGCGAGACGGGCTTCCCGGGGGTAGTCGTTAGTTTATATACGTAAGAGTTGCGCCCAGAGCCATCTCCTAATGCCAATGCACGATAACTCCACAGACGCTGGTAGATGCCCCGTGTGTGGACCATGCATTGCGCGGAAAGTCATCCCGGTGCGCAGGGTATAAGAGTGTGTGTCGTCGAACGCCATGCCATGTTGAGAAAAATGCTGAGTGGTTTGTACAGCGGGAGCCGATCTGTACACAAGAAATTTGTCCGGGCAAAATAGGACACTTGATAGTTTTGGTTTGGGTTGTTTAGTTGAAGCGCTCCTTCTCCCGCAGGCCGCCGATCGAGTCCATGTCGACCGAGTAGAACTGCGACTTGCTGTCCTTCTCGTACGCGGGGAGCTGCTCGTCGCGGACAGGCTCGAGGCCGACGGAGCCGCCATCGCCAACGCGGACGACGAGCACGCGGCCGCTCTTGCGGCGACCGCCCTCATCCTGCTCGTCGGGGAAGGTGATGTGGATCTCGGGCACGTTGTCGGGAGAGTGGGGAGCGGACTGGGGGTTCTGGAGCATCGGCGAGCGTCCGTCCTGGCCGATGTACAAGACGCTTGAGCGGCCGTCCTGACTTGTCTGAATGGTGAGGTTGTGGTGGTTTCTGGCGCCGCCCTTGACTTCTTGATAGGAAGGGAGCATCTGTTCTTGGCGCTGTTGTCTGCGCATGCGGCGCATGAGGAAGAGTGTGGAGACGAGGAGAAGGGCGAAGAAGACCAACGCGAGGACGACGATCATGAGGTTGAGAGTGTCGCCGCCGTCGACGTCGCGGGGGACAACGACAGGGGCGCTGCGGGAGATGAGGTTCTGGATGGAAGGCATTGTGCTGGTCGTGAGCGGGTCTGATTATTACTGCAAATATCCCTTTCCTGTGGTGCGAGTCGAAGGGAGCGGTATTCGATATAATTATGAACGAGCGGACGACTGTAGAGGCGATTGTTAGCATCGCGAAAGGGGGTTGTTGTTTGAGGGTCCGACACATGGTAAGACATTCTGGAGCATTTTCTGGTGAACACGCAAAGGGGACCCAGACCCATTCCAGGTCTCCCTTTTCTCACCGGCCAACGCAGCTCCTCGAGTGTCCACAAAGGGCGGATTCGCCCTCCCGCAAGAAAGAAGTGGCACGTACGCAAGGGATTAAGACCTCTCTTTGGCAGGCAGTCTCGAAGTCGTTAAAGAATGCACTTGTCTCTCGGTGTGTCGTGGATATTTTTGGATTTGGGGATGTGGTGTTTTTCGGTGTAGATGCGATGGTACGTAGTGAGCGGGTGGGTATTAACGATAGGACGGAATGCTGCTTAGTGAATGCAAGCGGTAATTCCAATGGGGGGGATAATATTAGAGAGTGACTGGAAGGAGGGTGCTAATAGAGAGCGAGTGACAACAAACGGTCCTGCAACGTACAGCAAGGACGACGACGATTTGAACAAAGTTGTTGAAGAAGAAGGGGAGGGAAGGGAGGAGGAGAAGAAGTCGAGAAGGGAACGAGGAAGGATATGTCCTGGAGAATGGACGGACAGGGGGTAGCGCCGAGGAGAGGAGAACTGGAGAGGTCTGCTGTGTGCGGTGTGCGTGGTGCGTGGTGCGTGGACAATTGGTGCAGGCTTGCATTACCTAGGTAGGACTGGGGCAGCGGGCGAGTGGCTACTGCTCAGTGTGGGCGGCATTAGACGCCTGGGAGGAAGGCGCGATGGAGCCATGCCGTTCCTGGCCAGGCATCCAAGGATCTATTCAGCGGAGGCACAGCATACGCGCACAGAAAAGGGCGGCATCATTCATCATTGCATGGGGCGGTTCGTGATCACAGATTGAATCCTTTCTAGGGCCCCAGCCTATTGGCAAGGCGGCAGGGATCACAACCGAGCCAGACCGAGTCGAGAGAAGCCAGGCACTCAGTACGTGCTACTCTGTTAAGTACCTACCTGTACTAAAGACGCAGGAGACGCTCCACGTCTTCACCGCCTGGCCAAAGTAGCGAGACAAATTCAAGACGGAGGTGTAAAAAGAGCCCAGGTGAAAAGAGGAAAATGGCAACATCGGACGACAGCAAACGGTCCTCCCAGCCGCCCTTCCATGGAATCCATAGTTCCATTGGCATAGTGGATCTGGACCGGGCCAATTCTCCATTCTGGCAAGCACAGCCCATGGAGCAACTGGACTGATTTGGGACATGGGAAGCAACGCCCCAAGATTGAGCCCGTCTGACAGGCACGCACGATTCGTCAACGGTCTGTTGCAATTTCCGCCATTGGCCAATGGGGCCGTTGTGTACCTGGAAGGAGCGGGGCGGTGCCGGGAGCCTCCTCGAAACGGTGCTGATTATTGGGCCGTCGTTGGTCGTTTCCCAACTAAGCTCATCGACCCCCTGCAGGGGCTCGTGGTCCGTGAGCTCGTGTGCAGGATCGAGCCCTGGCTCCTTCTTCACAAGCTCGCTCCTGTTCCTGGATTCTGCCGGCTGCCCCTGACTTTTGCCCTATTCCGAGCCTGGGCGGCTGTGACGACAAGTTGGGACTCCCCTTTTTCTATGCAATCTGGACTCGCAAATCAGCACCCACTGCGACCTTGGACAAGCGGGTCCATTGGATAGAACACGCCGTTAGCGTCGTGGTGACATCCATTTCGAGAAGTTAGGTGCGTCCGTGACTCCGTCGTCAACAATACCCGGCCCTCAGTTGAGGTTACAAACAAATAGCGACTGTAAGAATAACATTGCAACGCCCGCCGACAAACTGAACTCTGAATCATCTCTCATTCGCCCGACCAGACCATTGCCGCATCTCTTTTGGCTTTTCCCCTCTGTCCAGTCCGACGCCACCTCTGCCGCCCTCCCCTCTTGATTTCATCACCGAGCCATTAAACACCGGCGCTAACGGATATCTCTCTCTCTCTCGCCATCGCTGATTGAGAAGAAACAGCTGCCGGCTTCATCCCTCCTCTGGTCCAAATGTCTCCGGGTATCCGTGTCCGTACCGTCGCCGACTGAAATGTCGTCCGTCCCAATGTAGCCTTGGCCTCTCCCGGGGCCCCACGAATGCAATATCCAACATATCAAATCAGGTTGCGACTTGCTGACTCTCTCCCAATTCTAGAAAGACCTTATTAACTCATTCCGACCTCTCCCACCTTTTTGGCGGCGGCAACCTCCCGATGCCAGAAATAGCGTCGGAGCTCCAGCAGCACTCCATGCCAGTGGGGCGCGCGACCCGCAGCATCATCTCTCTGGCAAAGCGAGAGCCTCGTGGCCCACGATGGCTCCGTTGCCGTACGCACGAGATTACGGACTCGTGAATGGACTCTTCCACGCTTGCGGGCTGTTAGAGAGTCGTATATAATCCAAAATCCTGCCCGTTCCATGGCGAAGTGAGCATGGCATTTTCGTCCGACTCCGCTTGCCGGCTCCTGTTGTCGCAGATCATCCCTTTCGGGACCGTCTACGAGATTTCGTGGAATTGACGTTGCCCCTTGGAGACAAACGAGAGTTTTTCATCTCGTTTGTTATGAAGCACGTTGCATTGTTCAATGCAGCGACCACCTCTTATCCCATAACCCATGTCTCTCCGCGTCCAATGCAACATTGACAGCTCGATACCGAACATACCGAGGATGTGGCCCGAGCTCCCTGTGGCGCTCTTTTGTGGCGCCAGTCCACCCCGATTCATTGGGGCGCCACAGAGAAACGAATTACACCTCTCGTCGGCTTCTGCTGTCATGATTTCTTGGCTCGAAGTCATCACAGGCAATTCGTCCAAGTGGGAAGCTCTACATTCGGCGGCTCGGTAGCGCACCATTGATGCCAAGGAGGCTTTCGGCCTAAAACACTATAAACTCATCTGTGGGCGCCATCCAAAGGCACGATCCATCTCACGACCCGGTGTCCCTGGCCATGGTGTGCCTCACTCTCGGCAAACACATGCGTTCCCTCGTCGCATGTTTCCCGCAGCATACTTTTTCTTCTTTGGACCATGGCCGCATTCTGGTGGGAGACAACACGACAGGCAATCCGGCCATGAGGTTTCCGCGATGAGTTGTCTCTTGCTGAGGTGTCCCTGCAGACATGAGTGCCCGACGTCGTCTTGAGTCGCTTCGATCAGTCAGATTGGCTCAACAATCGAATGGAGCTTGCTAATTCTCACCCAGAACGGATCCTACCGCATGAGG